GCGAGAAAGGTCACCCTTCTATGAGCCACGCGAAGCAGGTCACCCTCCTGTGAGCCAGGACTGTTAGGTCACTGGCTCTATGGGTCATTATGAGCTATGGAAACCAGGTCACTGTGAGCCACGCGGACAATTCACTCTCTGCGCCAACTTTATAACACCAGGTGGGTACTCCTCCAGCCCCAGGTCGGGTTAAATGGCATACCACCGGTAGCTGCAGCAGGCTGGAAACATATAGCCCAGTGGTTTGTCACACACAAGAGACCTTTCACGTCTGTAATTGGTCCTCCATTCTGGGAGGTAAGAGCACCCAAGGCGCAGTATCTGCATAATCTACGAGTCGGTATTAGCGGTGACGCAAGGCAGCAGTCGTAAAAAAAGATGTGGGTTATGGCACAGGTTGGAAAGTCGACGGTTCAACATTAGCGGCGCAGGAGACACCAGTAACTGTAGTGTCCCACGGTGAATAACGTTTCGTATCAATGTTAGTTGAAAAAAGCTGCATGATGCTATTGTTGTTTTAGATTCAACTACTCGGAACAAAAAGTTTCAAGCAGCAAGGGCTATGGTGAGTCCGTCGAGCTGCAGGATTGATGATTGATAAAGATTAAGCCACCCAAGAGGTGGCACGGGCATGAATAGCCCGTAAGTGGTGGCCCTTTTGAGCCATTACCAGTATCAAGAGATGATACTGGAGATCTGTGGAAGCGCAACTGCACCCCTGCGTGACGGGAGATGTCTCCCGGACCAAATGGTAACCAAATGGTGAGAGCTGCAGGAGTATGGCTTCAATTATGCAACAGTATTACTGCAAAGATGCAACAATATTACTTTAAAATATGTAATTAGTTTTCAAAGACGATATGTACCAAGATAAAGAATACTTAATATCTGTGTAAGTTTTCAAGTTTCTCATCTGGTATCATATTTTGCAGTGATGTTTGATAATCTGTACCTGAATAGGTTTTATTGAAAATTTGATAATTCCATATTTTTTTTCAATTACTTATAGAAAACGTTGATAGATAACGAAATACCTCAATACAACATAATAAACTCCAAAAATATTAACAAATTTTCTGAGACAATTCATGGATATAATCCTGATGTCATGAAATCAATTACAATTGTATGAATAGAATTCATTTGAAAGCACAACACGTTTCCAGGTTCTCGGAAGTTTAGTCACCGTCGCGATCGATCGTACAATCTTAACCTTAGCGAATCACCTTTATTGGCACTAATGACAAGACTTCTACTGTTCTTACAAGGTCTGCTGACCCCTGTGAATCATAGACGGGACAGCTCGTGAATTCCAATTTAATTTAAATTTTCCTGAAACATCTTTGCCCAACTTGCCCAATTTAGCGCATTGTCAATGCCCTAAATAATCGCATATGATGAATTCGTTTAGCATCAAACCTTGATGAATTTGCTCCTTTTTACGTCAGGTAATAATATATTTCTGGCGAAGGTTAACTTCCCTCGGATAATAGTAATCAAAATATAGTTACGGTAACTGATTTATGGGAAAAATTGCCGGGTAATATTATAAGCACTGGATCACTGTATTGTTTCAATTGTAAGTTAGACATGTATATAAATGAATTTGGGTGGATATAAATAGGCGTTGCCTCATTTGGCCCAATAGGCCTTTTGCAGTTTCACTTACGCTTATGTTCTAATAAATTAATTTTAATGACACTACAACATTTGTAGGTAAGGTTACGGCATTAGGCTGCGTGCAAGGTATACAGTAAAGCTTTTAATAGTTAGTTCCCAGAGCTGCGAACGCACCACAACCTACGGGAAATTTAGAATATTGCATCTCTAAGATGAACTTCTTTCATATCTTCATTTATTTGCAAGAGTATACAGCCAGACAGGTTATTCACTGGGGTATAAAAGTCACAATACATTCTTCGTTGAAGCAGATGCAGGTAACTTCATATATACGACAGTTTGCCACCAGATTTTGTTGTTATATAAGATCCTTCCTAGCCTAATCCAATCCAACCTAACCTAATGATATATTCAGTTACTTAGACAAAAGATTGACCTTGTTGCGAGACAGGATCAATTATAAGATTTGGGGTTTACGGCTCATGCTAGGTGATGATATGGAAAATTGGTTTACATGGAATTATATAAAATATATATGTAGTATTTTCCTTTGTAAATTGCTGTAAATATGATCTTTATATTGTACATTATTGAATAAAGGAAAAAACAAAGCTTTAGGAGAAAGTGCACTTGTGTACTATTAACTATTTGACAGGGCCTGGGGAGCCTTCGTCGACCAGTTACTGTCACCTTCTGTGGTTGTTCAATAAAAATCTCTGAACTGTATGTTTGACAAATCTTTCACCCTGTCCATGGAGGACAGAAGAAAATGTACATATGCTAGTTAGCATTGTAAATGTGTGGCCACGTCTGTGGTAGAAAATAATAATAATAATAATAAAAAGTTACTGTCAAAGCGAAGTAAATCATAAAGTTGTTAGCAACCAAATCTCAAAATTAAGCGTTCCAAGTTTTCCACAACTTTAAATAATGTTGCAAGTCCATGGCCATATATAATTATCTAGGGTAGACTAACACATTCCTTGGAGCTGGCTCTAACTCTGACTTTTCCATTATTAGTGGCTTTGATTTACTATTGTTCACTGGTAGCTGTCTTAATTATATACTAATTACTGCTGGATATCATGAGAGTATGACAGTATGACACGTGCTAGGTAGCATAACATATATATATAATGTATACATAATTTAACTCTAAATATAAAGTTTGTACTCGCAACATTTACAAATTATACCATACATGTTTTGTGGTGAAATCATTACAAAAAAAATTATATATGTACAAAAAAAAATGGTGTTTTTTTAACTGAGGAATTATTTAACAGGTATATTTGTTTTTGTAATTATTCGTTCACTTAAGCAGCCGCTAAACCGGCTTCGGTTCCAGAATGTTTATCAGGCAGTAAACCATAACGTTTGAGTATATCTTTACCGTTGCCAGTCACGGCATTTTAAACAGACGTGTCTCATCTTGTATGATGTCGTACCAAGCCACATTATTTTATAAACTGATCTCGTGACATCAAAGAAGTGAAACGGGCTTGTGTGACCTAATAAATAAAACAAGTAATTACTGCCGCTATCTGAAGAAATAAAGTTAATTTCCTCTAACGCATGAGTGACACGCCGTCTGTCATGCAGAGAATTGGTGCAGTGATTGGTGCAGTGACTGGTGCTGTGACTGGTGCAGTGACTGGTGCAGTGACTGGTGCTGTGACTGGTGCTGTGGATGTTGTAATGACTGGGGCAGCGTATGCTGCCGTGACTAGCGAAGTTTTAATTCGGTTTTTATTGGGATATGTAACTTGTATACAAATTATACGATGGGCTTACATCGAGGTTCCACCCTTCTTGAGGTTATCTTGAGATGATTTCGGGGCTTTTTTTAGTGTCCCCGCGGCCCGGTCCTCGACCAGGCCTCCACCCCTAGGAAGCAGCCCGTGACAGCTGACTAACACCCAGGTGCCTATTTTACTGCTAGGTAACAGGGGCATAGGATGAAAGAAACTCTGCCCATTGTTTCTCGCCGGCGCCTGGGATCGAACCACAGGATCGACCACAGGATCACAAGTCCCGCGTGCTGTCCGCTCGGCCCACCGGCTCCCCTTCCCCGAAGTCGAACTACTGACTTTCCCAGGATGCATCTCCACAACAGTTGACTAACTCTCGGGTACCTATTTACTGCGAGGTGAACAGGTGTATTCGAGGAAAGGAAATGTGCCCAACCATTTTTTTTATTGTTGCCGCCGGAGGCGGCTAGTTTATTATGCACCCCATACTCATCCTGTGAGCGGTAGCGCAAAAGCATAACAGAGGGCACTCAAGGTCTTTCTCACACCTCTTCTTAGACTATTACATAAACAATTTCATCTATCCTTCACACCTAATAGTTACAACCATTTCTGTCCCGTCCGGGATTCGAACCTAGGATTCCCGACCGTAAGTCAAGAACAAACCGAACTATTGGGGCAGATACTAAACTAACAGATCTCTTGCCCATCCTTGACTTGAGAAATAATTATTTGAGAGCAACAGATGAATGACAAGCAAGGGAATTCCACCCGCCTAATTGTATGCACCACTACCTTTTTCCCTGTTAGTGCCTGCGAGACCATGTCAATTATTAACTAGACACTTTGCTAGGGGTATATTCCTTGCAAGCTGGCTAACCTCGCTTTTTTACTTACTTGACAATTATCGTATAATGTTGGCCGATAATTTGTCTTTTTATTCACTCTCTTTAGCCTAGTGTTGATACCAAGAGTCGTATAAATGCGTACAACTTTTTTCGTTACTGTGTTCTCATACAGATTCACACAACTGTGGTGTCTGTGTCTGTGATGAATAATATATATATTGGCAAATACTGTAGTGTACGACTAGCTGGGCGAAGCGTGGCGGGATTCCTGGGTTTTCTGTTTACAAAGATAGCGATGCTGTCAGAGATGAAACGCAGGTGGCAAATATGAACTAGCAGCCTCGTCTGCTATGGACATGGGAACAACCAGGACAGGAGACACTACTGTACCCAGTGGAAGCACAGAATGAGTAATCAAGTCACGCCCATCCTGAAACTTTAACTTAGATTTATGCCATTTAGCTGTTTTTTTTTTCGTTTGCAAAATTGTGAAGATGCGCTTCCTACCACCCTACAAACTACTCGGATGTATTTATCCAAAATTAATCACTATAGACCAATCCTCACACACAGGAGTCTATTGTTTCCACCCACCCTAAAGAGGCGCCTATACCTGCACCAGTTAGCCAACATCACTGCCCTCTTTATCGAAGCTCTCATATCCCCAACACAATATGCAACTGACACGCATCTTTCCACCGGCCCAACCAAGATTTCATAGCACTCTCCACCCGGTTAACGGAGTTCTCCTATACCACTAACAGGCCCTCTCCCTCCGTAGATCGCAGTGGATCCCCGTTGGTGGGGGAGGGAAGGAATGGGGAGGCCGGAACAACGGCGGCGACCACCCCGAACACAGCGGCGCCTCCAGGAGGACCCAACAACACCGCCCCGACGGAGACGATCACAGGCGCCCCCGTTATCTTCTTCCTCGGTAATTTGCACATTGTCCCCTTTGATGCGAATTTGATTAAGAAAAATATAATATATATAATATATTTTATATTACACGTAATATTCAGGCTTTATTACGTGCAATTTTGTAAATGTAGGGGAACGTATAATATATATAGGCATATACCTGTATCACAAATAACTGTACATAATCTTATGATATCATTAATTTCTCAAAATTTAAATTCAATTATTTTGTCTAATGTTGAGTAGTTATGCTTTCAATGACAATTGTGTACACTGGTTCGCAGGTTACTTGTGTAAAGGAGGAAATGTATATGTTTAGTTCTCAGAATGTTTGGCAATATGTTTATTGTTTGTGATGTGTGTCTATATATGTATGAACACGTTGTACTGAACGGCGTGAGAATAGCTTGAGCTACCTCATCAATTTGTGTGTTATTTTACCTCAATAAACTTATTTCAATTTCAATTTCAATTTTTCCCAGGTGGGCCAGGGAGCGGTAAGATGACCCATGCGCAGAACCTGGCCGACATCCATGAGGGTTACCGACACATCAACCTCTCAGTCGTCATTAGCGAATACATCAAAGAGAATGGTCAGTCCCACTTCTTGTTCGGAGTTATGGGTTGAAACCAGTGGGCGTAGGGAAAGCATGCAGGGTAATTTTAGTACGTATGACTGTTCGTCAATATTTCTGGTTTCGTTAAATCTTACATATCCTAATTTAACCTAGCATAGCCTAAGCCAGCCTAACCTAAGGTAATTTAACCCAATCTGACGTAATCTAACAGCTTATTCCAGTCTAGCGAATGATATTTAGTTGCATCGCCGCCAATTAGGCGTGTATATACTGCTCACTATCACTGCTTACCTTATAAGCATCGAAGAGGACCTCGGACTGCACAAACCATGCCTCTGTTGAAACCGGTGTCAGCCCTGTGTCAGCCGGAGATTGTTGTTGATACATACTAGACCAGCCTTCAGTATGCCCCAGGCTACCCCTGGCCTACAAGTATGCCAGTAGCGGTGACGCGGATGCCAATTGTTCTTCTTTACCAATTGTTTTGGAAAGACTGGGAGTGGCAGTAACTTCGAGGTTATCACATTAATATCTCACACATCCACCAAACTAGGGTTAAACAACTCGTCACAATAAGTATGTTGTTGTGAAGTATGTACAAGTCCAAGCAGAGAGCGAGAAATAGTGTTGTTATACGGTCGCCGGTGAGACCAGACTGGTCGTTTCCCCGGAATTTAGTTAAACAAGTTCACTTCGTATGCACCACATACTTATCCTAAGGGTGGTAGTGAAGCTTAATAAGGCACATAATGGGATCAGAAACTGAATTCTAAAATAAATTTAGCTAACCAAGTTAGTCTTGATAAGCTAGTTACACTGATTAATGTATGTACCAACAATGGGTTCGAGAACGACATCAAGTAGTTTCTAAATTTCGGTGAAGCGAGTTTCATAATTTGATTGGGTTATGATGCACTCCGCCCTTCCAAGTGGAAGGCGTTGGTTAAAGGTTACAGTCACCTGCATTCATTACCTACTGCTGTTAAACTGGGGATATTTGGGTAAAATTTCTGGTAGTAAATAATTTTGAATGAAATCTTTACACATTTCTTGAACATTTGTTACAGAGAGCTGTTTTGCGAGTACGTCCGCAGCATACGACACTACAGATGTACTTGAAAATAAAAAAAAACTATTTGATGATCATTTACGTTTATCATAATATTACTGATATATACAGTTTAAAAATGAAAATCATGGTGTGTGCGAACCGTCTGTGTGCTATTTGACCATACCACGAGAAAAAACAAAAATAAAATTAATCTGGAGCAAGGTATTAAAATAAGAACCACAGCTATCATACGCCTTTCATAGGCACTAAATTAATAGTGTATATATATATATATATGTAAGGTCTATCAGAAGAATTAATCTGAGGATAAAAACACCCTATGGTGTAGGTAATCCTCACAATGATAATATCACATTTAACTATTAGTGCTGTTTAGCTTATTAACTAAACACTGAACAAATCCACAAGGGCCGTGACGAGGATTTAAGGCAGCGTCTGGGATGCTCTCCGACGCAGGTTCGAATCCTTGTCACGGCCCTTGTGGATTTGTTCATTTGATGCATCACGCAATTGTGATTTCTGTGTGTAACTAAACACTAATTTGATATTATTTACTTAAATTTAACCACTGGGGGATTTAAGTAAATGTAGCGTTTCCTTAATTGATTATTGTATCATTCATTATTTGAACATGACTATGTTACCGTAAATGACCCTGGAATAAGAGCTAGTCTTTTGGAATAAGTTCAGCTGTTCAAAGCCAGAGATGGATACTGTTCATCCGTTCAGACTCTTGGAATAGGTTCAGGGACATTTTCTTGGAATACTTTGAGAGTCATTCTCCGACAGAGGTAATTCATAGTTTATAAATTCATGAGCAAAGTAACCAGGCATATCATCAACAGGAACTTTTGTAAAGCTCACTTTACAAAAGTGAGTAATAATCCTGATATTAATAATCCAAAAGCTTGACTCACAAAATTGAGTCAATAATCCTGATATTAAATTAATCAAAACTGATTAATTTAATATCAGGATTAATTGAAACATTGTTCAATTTTGTAACTAAATCCATGGAATTAGGTATAGTAACAGTCTCTGTCATTTATGCTGTAAGGAGAATTCGCTCTCCATTTTCATTTCAGAGGCTGCGGAAATAGGATGTAGTATTATACCTTATGTATTTACAGAGTTTTAATTATTAATTCATTAAGCCAGTGTTTCCAGGAGATGGAAAACAAGATAACATTGCACCAGAGGAGTCAGAGAGCCGTGCGTTCTAAGCTCATGCGAGCCCCTAACTGTTCGAGTTATCAGCTCGCCAGTAAGCTAAAGTCTTGCGAAATCTGCTAATAAATCAGTCGTAATATTAATAGTTTCCAAAGAATTAAGATAGTGAATGTTACAAGTTATTATGAGAACTGTCACCGTCCTGTTATCTCCACAGCGACACAGCCTCGGAAGAAAGTCATCAGTAAAAGAGGAAAAAGATTCCCTTTCCGCAAGGTGAAGAGTGAGACCACTGAGGAAGTGGTTATAGAAGGTAGTTCACTCGCTCAATTTTGTCGCCAACTGGGTAAGGGTTCATCGAGCACTTAATGTGTCCACTTACGATATCTGGACATCCCTGTCATGGCGGCATAGTCCAGCTTTACTAAACAGTTTACGAGCTCCAGGGCACTACCAGGTCATCCATAACAATAATAACCTTGGGTAGAGGCCCATCTCGTAGCGCTTCGGAGGTCGTAAACTGTTTAATAAATACCGATTAAGTTGTTATGATTGAAGAGGTACAGATCTCATATGGGGAGCTTTAAGTGCTTTGTGAGCCCTGGCCCTGACTTTTGTTGCATCCACGTAATATGTGGTGACCTGATGTGGCCTAGTGACTGGCCACGGAGTGACCAGGTCATACTGAGGTCTTACTTGGCCACATAGGTGTGCTACCCAGGTCACCTGACCATTTCAGTGACTCGGCCAGGCCATTGGACCAGCTTGATCGGTAATCTGAACTGATTGGTGATCTTCCCTGGCTGGTGACCTGGTCAGTTTGGTGTTCTGAACAAGCTGGCGACCTGACTTGGCTGGTGATCCAGCCAGGCTGTGGCCAAGCCAAATTGGTGATCTGACCTGGATGATACCCTAGCCAGGTTAGTAACTTGCACTGGTGACTTATTCAGGTTGATGATCAGGCCAGAGTGCTGTGCAGCCTGGTCGATGACCCAGTACCACTGGTAAACCCAGTCAGGCTGTAACCTGGCCAGCCTGTTAGACTTGGCCAAGCTGGTAACATGGTCCGGTTGGTGACCCGGCCAAGTTGATGACCTACCCTGATTAGTGACTAGTCAGACTGATCTGAGCCTCAATCGCAGCTGCAGTATCCAGCATTTGAGACGCCGGCAGCTGCTCCACGCCCGGGTTTTCTTACCCATGTTCGTGATCCACATGTGTGCATTCTCTTTTATTCTTTAAATAATAGGAAGTTAAATATTTAGTTCAGAAATTTATCAAGAAATGAAATTCAAAGATTACATGAAATTGTGTTTGCACGTAATTATTGTACAACCACAATTTCATGCAATCTTTCATGTTAATTTCTCACAATTATATTGAAACATTTTAATTGGTTAGTACTGTATTAGTTACAGGAATGCCATTAACATTTGTAATGTTATTACGACACACAGGTATAAAAGATTCACCCCCCTTTTGAGAGGATATTTAGCTTCCTATCTATTACTTAAAAATACTGGTGTGTGTACTGATCAAATGTCAGAGATGGAGCCATAAAGAGAACACTTTCTCTCCCTTTGCCTCATGGTGGAATTACAGAGAATGGCTTTGTAACATAACTCTTATTCAGTATATATATACTGTGTAAATTGTAGATTGTTGTGCTGTACAATGCAAATTATGCAGAACAAAAAGAATTCTGGACATCATTATCACCTGCCTTTATTATATATATCCTTTATTATATATATATCCTGTTTACTCTTTAATTTTCCTCATAAACTGCAGTTTAAATGACTGTATGATTATCTCTTCTGATATTTATCACCAATTTATCTGTATGCAATATTAGTTTTTTTTTGACTACTTAAAAGGCAAAAACAAAACAAAAATCGTAGGATATCGAAACGTCTGGCTATCCAGCATAGCTCCTCAGCACGTCTGGTTTCCATGTACATAAATTCACCGCAAAAATAAATAAATCTCCTATTATGACGAAGATTGTTTTTGTAGAAAGCATTTTCTTCTCTGCTTATTTATATTGGTAGGTGACTATAAATTTGTTGCTATAATAGAGTATTAGTGTAATCTGATCACAGTGGCGCACTTTGTTTATTTTACACAGTGTGAGAAATTGTGTAATTGGGACATGACAGCTGGTTAAATATTTCGTTCCTTTAGTTATGAGGCTTATTTCAAGGCCAGGCAGCATGAGCAGCTCACGTTTTTACTTGAACAAAATCTCTTATTTTAGATTGGTTTACAAGAAGAAAGATATCTCTCTCTCTCTCTCTCTCTCTCTCTCTCTCTCTCTCTCTCTCTCTCTCTCTCTCTCTCTCTCTCTCTCTCTCTCTCTCTCTCTCTCTCTCTCTCTCTCTCTCTCTCTCTCTCTCTGTCTCTCTCTCTCTGTCTCTCTCTCTCTCTCTGTCTGTCTCTCTCTCTCTCTCTCTCTCTCTCTCTCTCTCTCTCTCTCTCTCTCTCTCTCTCTCTCTCTCTCTCTCTCTCTCTCTCTCTCTCTCTCTCTCTCTCTCTCTCTCTCTCTCTCTCTCTATATATATATATATATATATATATATATATATATATATATATATATATATATATATATATATATATATATGTGAGAATTTCTTGTTTCTTGTACATCCAGATAACTCATGTCCCAATGCACATTTTTTTTTTTTTGGATACACACTTACCATTAATGTTTACAAATTAAAATGTACATTGAAGTTTTTGAGAATAAAAACGCAGGAATATTGTGAATGAATAAGATGTAGGAGGTAAGTTCTTATATATACAGTATATGTTATTCGAATTCCCTAAACGGAATATGAGAGATACAAAGGTATGATTGTGTACGAAGTAGCTTCACCTGTGATCCCTTATAACCAACACCCCCCCCCCACCAGTGTTCTTAATTGATAATCAGCCGCCTGAATTTTCGTCTCGACAGACCTTGGGTCGCCTCGGTCCATCTCAGCGACTATCGCCTTGGCTCTGCTGGCCCGAGAGATGCATCTCACTCAACGCTGCAAAGGATACTTAGTGTCCGGTTACCCGCGGCATATGGAGGATGTTCTCCACTACAACGATAAGGTGAGAGGCGATCATCCACTATCATAACCCTTTCACTTCAGTTCCTTATCCTGTGATGTTATTTGTTCCATATATAGTGGCACTACTTGTTTCTTAACTTACACAAAGATATTATTTGTGCCTTAACTTACACAATGATATTACTTGTTCCTTAACTTAGGCAATGATATTATTTGTTCCTTAACTTACGCAATGATATTACATATTCCTTAACTTTGGCAATGATATTACTTGTTCCTTAACTTAGGCAATGATATTACATGTTCCTTAACTTACACAATGATATTACTTGTTCCTTAACTTACACAATGATATTACTTGTTCCTTAACTTAGGCAATGATATTACTTGTTCCTTAACTTACACAATGATATTACTTGTTCCTTAACTTACACAATGATATTACTTGTTCCTTAACTTACACAATGATATTACTTGTTCTTTAACTTACGCAATGATATTACTTGTTCGTTAACTTAGGCAATGATATTACTTGTTCCTTAACTTACACAATGATATTATTTGTTCCTTAACTTACGCAATGATATTATTTGTTCCTTAACTTACGCAATGATATTACTTGTTCCTTAGGCAATGATATGATGATACTTGTTCCTTATCCATTGATAGTTAGGTATCCATACCCTTATCGGCTCTTCCGGAAAATCATTACATTCAGCTAATTCAATTATTATTCCCATTCTTTTTACTAAAGTAGATCATCAGTGGCTACATCAACTCCTGGTATTCTTAGGCATACTCTTCGTTATAATTTGATAATGGGTGTTTTCTTTAAAAATCTCATAGGAGCACTGTCTTTTCTTTTATGTATTTATTATAATAATCCGCCTTTGCCATCATATCTTCTCCAAATACATACATATATATATATATATATATATATATATATATATATATATATATATATATATATATATATATATATATATATATATACGTATATATATATATATATATATATATATATATATATATATATATATATATATATATATATATATATATATATATATATATATATATTAGTTTAAGCAGTACGAGAGTACACAATCAACAGTTTTGTATGGATATATGTTCCAGAAAGCTTTAAAAGATTGAGCACTACATAACTACATGCTAATTTCCTCGTCAGTATTTTTTTTAAGTTGAAACGAAATAGTTGAGGTAAATTATACTCAGTGATTGCAGTAATATTGCTAATGTGTGCAAATTTGAAAGTTAGTTTTGAATAGAAAACTAGCACTTTAGTTGCATTGTCAACAATAAATTTGTTTGATTTAAATCAGGATAATTATATCAAATCAAATGTTTATTCAAATGTTTATACAGGTAAAGTATATACATACAAGGTGAGATACAAACATTGATGGATATATAGATAGAGCTAGTACATACAACGCCTAAAGCCACTTTTACGCAAAGCGTTTCGGGGAGATATATTTCAAATCTATTAAAGAAACTAATATTCGTGCTAAACTTGTATATCCAGCTAGATAAAATCATCAGGGCAATTGAGGGTACCTTTGACAAGTCACCGGCTTCCTGCCCCTCATCGAGGCCACTAGTGACATGTTAACCCTCAGGTAAATCAGGTAAATCTGAAGTGGTATCTGCCACACCAAGGACATTACTGTGACTCCTACCATGCTGGAGATGCTGGGCACACCATTAGCTTCATTAAATATACATTTATATAACTACTGATTTCACCACTTGTATCATGTTATGTATATATTTTAAATTAAATTACAGTATTATAAAACTGTACCGGTAAGAAACGATATCTAAAATAATAATAATAACAATAATAATAATAATAATAATAATTATAATAGTAACAACATTAAATAGGCTTATCATTAATGCAAAGCCAAAACAGGCATAAGACATATCTTCCCCCCCCCACCCCCCACCCCCCTCTGCTACATGAAACAAAAAAAACAGATAGGCCTACGTCTTATCTTTGCTTCACTTGTCTCTGTAATCTTGTACCATCAGACCGAACTTTAATTGTCGTTTGCTTTCTTTTTAAATTCATTCGATTTTTCACCATTTTCATCGTGATCGAATAGGAATGTTCATCACTGCTGGTTACATTGAATTCTTTTGTTGTTTATTAAACGTCCTGAGGGGAACATGTCTATGGGATTTCTGTGTGTAATGAAGGAAGGGCGAAGAGGGAGAACGGCCTATTGAAATAGCTCGAGTGCATGGGGGAGTTGTGTAAAACCCTGGTTTGTGTCTCGGAGAGGCTGCAGGATCCAGTAAGTTCAGTAGAACTTCGGGTTTCAACTCCTTTTGACCATGTAGCTCAGTCGATTAAGGCAGCGTCTGGGATGCTCTCGGACGCAGGTTCGAATCCTCGTCACGACCCTTGTGGGTTTGTTTATTTGATGCATCACGCTATTGTGATTTCTGTGTGTAATGTTTATGTGGCGTCGATAAGCACATAACAAATCAGAAGTGATGCAGCGATGATTTGTCACTGGTCCGAATTGTACCTAGATGGGTTTCTGGGAGTTCTTCTTTCCTTCAAACCCGGCTCGAGGCCAGGCTTGACTTGTGAGAGCTTGGTTCAACAGGCTGTTGCTTTGAACGGCCCGCAGGCCCACCGCAGTCCGGTTGGTCCGGCTTTTGTTAATTAACAGAAAACTGTCCATAACATTTCTTCTTGAAGTCTTTGGATTTTGTTCCGGCTATATGTCTTATACTTACTGGGAAGATACTGAACAACCGTGATCTTCGTAATGTTCAGACGGTGTTCCCTTATTGTGCCTCTGGCACCTCATCTCTTTACTGGCAGGATTCACATGTAGCCTCCTTACAAGAATAAACTGAAGTAGTTTATATCATTGTAGAGTTATTAAATGCAACTAGCTGATTTTATTTAACAATATTTAAAATAAATAGTTCTAGTCTAAAGAAAGCATTTTTAGAGAGAGAAGGTATTAGGTTATACTCGTTACATGCTTTCTTAACAACAAGTTACAGAAAACGTTCCCTCCTGCAACACAGACTGACAAAATTACTTATATGTGGGTTGGAATAATTTAATTCATTTTTGACGGTGACAAGAAGCCTGTACTAAACTTATATCGAGATCCTTCATAGGTCGAACTACTGACCTTACAAAAGCTGTAACCCTCAACAGTTGCTTAACTCCCGGGTACTTATTTACTGCTAGGTGAACAAAGTCATCAAGTGACGGGAAACTTGTCCAACAAGAATTCCCTTGTCCATTTCTGTTTCGCCTGGAGCTTCAACCCGCGATTGTGAGTCGAGGACGTAGACTACTGTACTATAGGACCCATCTTTAGGAATTATATGAAAAGAATCAGATTATTGTGTACTCTTTCCGTTGCTGTGTCGTGTTAAAATCTCTATGCCTAATAATACTTTATTTAGTAATGTCTTCTTATGTGTTATATTTATAAAATTTGCTTATACAGTAGTTTTGCTGCCTAAGTTAATGTGATAATCATTCAAGGTCTATACACCGAAAGGGTCATTCAGGTTCTCCTTGCACGTAGACTATATTTTAATCCTGAATTATTTTAAGAACTAAAGATTGCTGGTTGATCTCTTAGCTTACCCAACTTAGATCAACTTAGGTAGCTCTTGTCAAGGGATATGTACCCCAAGAGGTGTATCCCTCTTCTCAGTGTAATGCACTCAGAGTTTACCCGTAGTCCTGGACTATGTTCAAGACTAAAGTATACTTGCTGCTTGGTCAGTAAACAATTGTGGTGGCCTTAATAGCCCTCCAGAGGTCGATAGGCGTTAAGCCCAACACGAAATCTGTCAGTTATTGTGATGACCTTAATAACCCCTGCAGAGGTTGACGAGGCTGAAGCCCAACAACGAATAAATATGATGACGAATTTTCTGGAAAATTATGATGAAAACTGGTAAAATAAATATTTATAAGTGTTATTGGTTGTGAAGGGGGTGTAACAACCAGTTGTGACTAAGGTGAAATAACCAAATGTGCTTGTGGCAAGGGGCTATTTGAGCATCTGGTGTGTCTTAATTATGGTGGGTAATTAGTCGACATTACTAAGTGGTAAGGAGGCTGAACAATCAGTTAACTGTGCTGAATGAGATGAGTGGGGTGATGAGTCTAATGTACTGAGTGAGATAGGTGTGGTGATCAGTTGACTGTGCTGAGATAAATGGGTGTGGTGATCAGTCGACTGTATTGAGTGAAATGGGCGTGGTGTTCAGTCGATTATGCTGAGAGATGGATGTGATGATCAGTCAATTGTGCTGATAGAGATGGGTGTAGTGATCAGTCGACTGTGCTGAGAGAGATGGGTGTGGGTGATCAGTCGACTATACTTAGTACGAGTGAAGTGGATGTGGTAATCAAATGTCTCACATTCCACCAGCTTGGCCGACCCACTGGGGCTATCTTGCTGGAATGGGACCGTGGAACTCTCATCAGGAATATTGAGGTACTTCCTCTCTTATCTCTACTACTTCTCTCCCCTCCACCTTTTCCTCCTCCTCTTGCCTGATTTTTTTGCAGCTAATCCCATCTATATTTTCGCAACTACAGCCCGATATTTAGAATGTACCCAAACATACAACCAATTACTTGCAACCTAATTGGTCACAAAGTTCCATACATGCAATGAAAGCCTTCTACATTTGTAGGCTTTTCCGCGCCAACTATTCAAGTGATTGGTCAGTATATGGGCACAAGCCTAAAGTTGGTTGAAAGGTGTTTAATTTCATCTTTATTTTCTCTATCAATCACCCAGCCTTGGCTAGAACAATCTGGGCATATTCTCTTTGCGTTACCTGCTGCTCCAGACGCCCCTCTATGCAACACCACCCAGAGACATAGACGCTATATATATTTTTTTGGTCTTGGTGACGCTGCCGCTTCCTCGGGGGTAATGACTCTTAATTTTCAGTGTGCATGATGCTGTCCCTTGCGAGTAATAGCTGACAGACTATTTATACCCGAGTTGCACCTCTCTGGTCTGCTGGTCTGCTAGTTGAGTAATGGCAGAGAGAGAGAAAGGGCAAGCTGGTCGAGTTGGTAGCTATGGAAGTGATGCTAGTTGCCCAGCCTTTTATTCTGCATGACTATATAATTCACCTAGCTTGGAAAATATCATTCACCCATCTTGGAAGATATCATTCACCCGGCTTGGAAGATTTTAAGTAGATACAAAACATTGTTGATGCATGACAAAATATGTTTTTTGCGTTATTATTTTCAGAAAAAAAGACTAATCCACTATTGTTCCATACAAAAATAATGCTCAGATTTCACATTAAATAACATTTGTAAAATAATTAATATTTGCGTGTGATTCAGAAATCATTATAAATAAAGAATAACATAAGAAATGTGGAGGAGACTGGATGTAATATAATCTAGAATATAATGCCAGAGTATATATACCGACCATGCCATTATTTCACCTCACTTTTATTCTTGGGCAATCGATGTTCTTAGGCAGATTTGTAACGTTGAAGTTTTTTTAATGATAATCAGTAAACACGTGTATGATGTTATGCTCCCACATCCTAGAGTAGAGGAGGCATATTCACTCTTTAACTGGCGAGTAATATGGGTAAACCTTCATGTTGAATTTATTACCCCAAAACAATGTGAACTATTATATCGCTATATTCATGAGACCCTCCCTACAAATGATAGGTTGTAGATGTTGGGCATTAAGGACAACAATAGGTGTGACCCAGTGTACTGAAATTGAGAATAATAGACATATATTTTATTTTTGTAAGCAGAAAGTTGTTCTTGTAAACTGGATTAAAGACACGCTTAAAGCTGTATGTGGACCAAGCATTAGAGTTCATTTAATGAGGTTTTTAATGTTTCATATTAACATAAAACGCAAGAAAATTAAGAATACAATAATTATGCTACTTTCTGATTACATTTTTTTGTGTGTGGATAGGAAGACAGGAGGGTTACTCAGTAGGTAAAATATTGAAGTTCTTGCGAGGCAGGATCAAGTATAACATTTGGGATTTACGGCTCATGCTCGGTGATATGAAAAATTGGTTTACTGAGAATTATATAAATGTAGTGTTTTCCATTATAAATTGATGTAAATGTGATCTTTATATTGTATATTATAAAAACTTAGTGATCATATACAATATGATCGCTAAGCCTGTCTATCTTTGCCGGACAGTCTGGTGTCTTAGTGCATACAAGTAGTGACTGTTTGAACGGTATTTGAAAAAATTAGAATGGTCTGTTTTGGTGAAAACAAATTCTCCTCAAAAAAGCAAGTTTACATATAACTTTTTTTTTTAATATAAGTACTGTACAATGTGTACTGAGACGTTTAAATAAAGCTGTGTTTAGAATTCAGTAAAATTCGTTATACAAAATGCTATTCCACGATGTAAAAAAAAAAGAGAGAAGCAAATAAATAAAACTTTATCAAATTTTTCGTCACATTTCTGAAATGTAGTGAAAGATGAAGATCAACTCTCATAGGCTCATACACCAGGTTTTGGGACGAATTGTTTTGTTCCACTGTCGAATTTGCCTCGATTTGTCTTGTAGCACCTCGTATATGACTGTAACCTATTATTATTATTATTAACATCTTTATTGACAAAATTTAATTACAATCTGAGTTAATCAAAATTTAATCAAACAATTACAAATTTAATTACAATTAGCTAATCTGAGGAATTAAATTAAGTCTTATTAAAGTGAGGATAATACTGGTATTGACTCTCACACTGGAACGAGGATCATACACAAGACAATAGGTCTGAACTGTAGGCTGAGATGACTATGACTACATATTCTTAACTCTTATACAATATAATGTAATTTATGACGAACTCCCACAGGGGCTTCCTCTGGCACCACAGAAATTCACAGTAGCCTCAGTTATAGAAGTGTAATTTGTTGTTAGGGTTATATCTTAATTCATAGTAATATGCCTTAGAGTTATGCAATATGTGTATACAACGTTTAGTTGTTATACATTAATTCACAGTTCTGTACCTCAGGTGTATAGATGAGATGTGGTCGGGTTTTGTGGTTATTCCGTAATTCAGGGTATTGCCTAATATATCCGGACTTAATTCCGCCACCTCCTTAATCGTTTACTTAACATTTTTTCATTACTGAGAGGCTTATATGCCTTTGGCATCTCAAGCTGCTGCTCTTTAGAGACCATGTAAGGAACATAACATGGAACCTGGCCGAACTAAATGATTACTTTTGGATTATATCCAGGACTAACGTATACATGAATCAATCAATGATGTCTGGTCTGTAAGCTATTGTGATAGCCTTAAAACCCCTCATACGGTTGATAGGGTGATAGATACTCCAAACAATACCCATTCACCGTTTTCTATCTGTAGGATTCTGGTGCCCTTCATATTTTTAAAGTTCTGTGTGCAAGAAGATCTATGACTCTAATCTTGACCATCTTGCACTATTTTTCCTATGTATTTTTCTTGTGTTGTATTCTGAATCCTTCATGTAAAATAGTCATACAATTACTTTTTACTGCATTACAAAGCTCTCTTGTATTATTGTTATATAATATATAAGAATGTGTACAATAATTTAAAAAATACAGTTAAAACTCCATCATTCTAAAATTTAGGGAATTAATGAATCCAGAGTCAAATAAATACAAAATAATTTAACGCAGAAAGAATTATTTTTCATGGTTTAATTTATTTGCAAGCTGTATTATTTCAAGCATTGAATTGATTTACTGACAGTCATATTCACTATTTTTTCCTCCCCCCCTTGAAAAGTTGAGAATGAGAGAGTATTGTTTGAGTCAGAGCTGCAAGCTGAGGAGTGCTGGTCGTATGGTAAGTCACATTTGACCCTCTCCCTCCAGTGATGTGTCAGTAGCACTGGGTTCTGTTCGCCCCTCCTCTCCTTGAACATGATCACATGATGTTCTCCTCTCCTTGAACATGATCACATGATGTTCTCCCCTCCTTGAACATGATCACATGATGTTCTCCTCTCCTTGAACATGATCACATGATGTTTTGGTGATTGTCTAATACCATCCCCCTGTAATCAGTGTGAAGTTTTATCATTTTGGTGTGTAGTCCTTGTCTGAATGTGCTGCTGCTACGGAGGTGTTATAGAAAAGTCATATATATATATCTCTCTCTCTAAGCATTCCAACTTCTGGGATACCAGTAGTTATCCCACCTGATTTCTCCCCCAAGCATCCCAATTTCTGAGGCACCAGTAGTTATCCCAAGAGCTCTCTTACCATGCATCCCAACTTATGGGACACCAGTAGGTTTAATTATCCCCCACCAGGTTCCTCCCAGCCTAGTGTGTTAGGCTACCCTTTGGACGAACTAATCACCATTGTTGCACTCTCTTGTGATTCACTTTAATGTATATGGTACATTACCCTTGCTTCTTCAGTTCCAGATGGACGATGGCAGCATACACAACCGACTATTCCATAACTGCACACTAGAATCAATAAAATATAGATACTGTATAACTATAGCTATAGATATACAGCATATCTATATTTTTTCATAATATAATTATCCTATCAATGTTTGTTCACTCACCACCATTTCAATCCCCAAGCACTATATCCTGGGATTATGGTATTTTTTCACTGATGTTCTTCTGTTGTATAATAACGTCGAAGTGCTCGTAAACCCCTAACTCTCCATGCTATTCTCCCAGAGCAGTGCATGGGAGATGTGCCTTCAGTGAAATATTATTGCATATTTTGGTATCATAAATGTCTATACTCTAGTCAACAATTACACTTGTAATCTCTCTAGGTTTTTTTCATGTTGCTGCTTGATTCATATATTGATTCATATATAAACCCCTTTTAAACCCCACCTCTGCAGAGCTGGATGAGGATTTCAAACAGTAATTGCTATACATGTGTGTGTTTTCTGTGAACTGTAACACGATGTAATACAATAAATAAAATCAATAAATCACACTGTAGAAAGTAACACAAAAGAAAGGGTAGTTGGAGAAGAAAATACTCAAGTATTCAGGGAGAATCTGCAAGGTCTTCACCGAATACCCATTATTATCTTCTCCAAGGCTATAGAGAAGAGAGAGGTGGTACACATATATATTATAATCATTATTTCAGTTTCTTGATAGCCCTCTTACTTGGTACTTTGTAGCTTTTGTTGGTAGCTCTCTTGGTACACTGTAACTGTTTGTTGGTAGCTCTTGGTACACTGTAACTGTTTGTTGATAGTTCTCTTGGTACACTGTAACTGTTTGTTGGTAGCTCTCTTCGTACACTGTAACTGTTTGTTGGCAGTTCTCTTGGTACACTGTAACTGTTTGTTGATAGTTCTCTTGGTACACTGTAACTGTTTGTTGGTAGTTCTCTTGGTACACTGTAACTGTTTGTTGGTAGTTCTCTTGGTACACTGTAACTGTTTGTTGGTAGTTCTCTTGGTACACTGTAACTGTTTGTTGGTAGTTCTCTTGGTACACTGTAGATGTTAGTTGGTAGTTTTCTTGGTACACTGTAACTGTTTGTTGGTAATTCTCTTGGTACACTGTAATTGTTTGTTGGTAGCTCTTTTGGTACACTGTAACTGTTTGTTGGTAGTTATCTTGGTACACTGTAACTGTTTGTTGGTAGTTTTCTTGGTACATTGTAGCTGTTTTCTCTGAATTTTAAGTTATATGAAGTAATCAAGTTTTAGAATTTTTCTTTTAATATATACATACAGTATATATTAAACATATATATACGTATTTATTAAACATGATAACACTTGCTATTTTTTTTTTTTTTTTGAGATCGTTGGGTTGTGAAATTTGGTATTTGACATATTTTATGAGTTTGAGAAGTTGATCCTTTTATAGTCGAACTTGCAGTAGTATCCGTAAAGAAAAATGATGGTAGCTAGTGTCGCCCTTATTGCTTATGATGAATTTTAAGAAATCCTACTGGTAATTGTCATGTAGTTTCCCCTTTGCCAGGGCTAGAAAGCCTGTTAGGTTCATCGAGATCTTCCATAGGTCAACTGCTGACCATCCCCAGGATGCAACCCTCAATAGTAGCTTAATTTCCTGGTACCTATTTACTGCTAGGTGAACAGGTGCATTAGATATAAGGAAACAACTGTGCAGGCCGTCTTGGCAAAAGAGGAAATTTGAGGAAAACCAAGTGAACCAAGAGAGGGAAAAAGAGGAAAGCCTCAACAATTTGAAATTGCTGAGGCTTCTGATAGCGTTGGGAAGATACAGACTGTTACCTAACCTTGAGGTGCATCCGGGGCTTAGCGTCCCCGCGGCCCGGTCGTCGACAAGGCCTCCTGAAGACCGTGGCTTAAGATCCACTCGTTAAAATTATTAACATATCCTGCAGGAGGCAAAAGTACCTGTTTAGCATTTTTCTGTGGTATTAGATTAGATTGAAACAAGCCCTGGAGGAAATTACTGTAAATATGCTAATGAGATGGGTAATTTATACATAACATAGCTAAGTTGATAGGTTGACTGAAACGATAATGATTTGAACGCTTAAGCGCATATTTCAAATATGTTGAATAAATTTAATTCATAATTTGTTTGCATAATATCCATAACATAAAATGGTTCGAGTATACGTGTCTGTAACAGGAATAACTTTGGTAATTTGATCCATAATACCAAGAAATTGACAGTTTAGGCATAATACTAATACGGCTGAATAATTTGAGTTCCTAATATTAAAAGTTGGATAATTTTACGCTGCTTCTGGAAACTTTCCTTATTAAGACTCCTCAATAGCTCGGTCGATCGAGCTTCGGCCTCAGACACGTGGGGTCCACGGTTCGACTCTCCTAGAACCCAGGGGAATGGAATCACTAAGGAAGCTTAATACCAACTGAGGAAATAAAGTTTAGAAAATATGATTTTAATTTTGCTTTGTTTAATGATAAATTTGGAACACTTATTCCCCAAAAAACAAGGAAAAAGTTACTTGCTGCTTAATTAACGTGTTAATTAATTAAAAGTTAATTAACGTGATATATATATGTGAATCTAATGTATATGTAATCATATTCAGTCTAACAATATTTAAACTAATTATATATGATGTTGTGAGGATACAAGCAAAAGACACAAACTTATTTCTTATAAAATACTGCAATGAGAATAGGAAGAAAACATAGTTTAAGAAAAATAAAACATGGTGTATTGCTGTCACATACCACCTCTATAATTTAGTATGATTTTATAATTATACAATAATTATGACATATAGTACCTTGTTTAACCTATCACTGGTGCCAACCATTGTACACACTCGACTTGCAAACTTGTACATACGTGTGTGTGTGAAGATATAGGTAATTTCGTACATAAGACGTTTCGCTTATCCCAACTTGGTTTAACTTAATCTACCCTAAGCCAATCCAACTTAATAATCTAACCAAAATAACCTAACTTAGGTAATCCAACCTTACATTTCATCATTTTTTTTTTAACAATTATAAACCGAGCAATATACGAAACATCTATATACGATTTGACCGCACCCTGTTTGATATCACTGTTATCAACACTTTGTTTAAGCCAGTAAGAGCACTCGACTGACCAAACTCCTTAACACCTTCGCAGGAAGACCCACAAGCAATTGGAGACACTTTCTGCATGACTTCAACGCCACAAAGTTCAGGCATTTACAAGCTTTTTGTATATAATTAGGGAAACCAAACTCAATCTCCTTGAAAGCATACAAATGTTCAGAAAGCTACACAACAGCCATCCCACGTTATGTTACACATTTGCAGCTAGGTAACGTTGATGGGGCCATCCTGCTGGACTGGAGGGAGTCCACACTGCTCAGTAACCTGGAGGCTGGAGCGAGGATGGGTACCCTTATGCTGGACGCTGCCAGGAAGGATCTCTCAGAGTTCCACAGCAAGGTGCTGCCTGTGTGCGAACACTTCGACAACCACGGTCTTCTTTATGTGGTGAGTGATATCTTTTAATATTGGTGTTGGGCTTAGGCACTGAGCCTCCGGCGGGTTATCAAGTCTCCCCACAATTCCTTCCGGACCAACTATCAAGTATAGTTTAGTTCTGAACATAGTCCTGGGGCCAGATTCACGAAAGCACTTATGAACCTGTACATCTTTTCTCAATCTTTGGCGGCTTTGTTTCCAATTATTAAACAGTTAATGAGCTCCGAAGCACCAGGAGGCTGTTTACAACAATAACAATAGTTGATTGTGAAGTTTTCATGCTTGTAAACTGTTAAATAATTGGAAACAAAACCGCCAAAGATTGAGAAAAGATTTGATAGATACATTCAGCCTTAGCACTTATAACATGCGTTTTGTATATTTTTTTTTTACGAAAACTAACCTAACATCCTCATCTAATGTAAATTAGGTAAATTCTTCCTTAGTACTTTCTAACTTAAATATAAATCGACAGATTTCATATAATAACATATTTGATTACAGGCTTTTAAAAATGTTAATTGTTTTATAGTATTTTTGTGTATTGAACAACTTAAAGAAAAGGTGTAGAAGTCCACCCAATGAATATGAGGTAGTTTGATACCGTGAAACCAATGCTTCGTTACAGGTGTCTGGGGAGAGGAGTCAGGAGGAAGTGTTTAGAGACGTCCAGAGAGCACATGACAAAATTATGAAGCCTCCTCCTCTGCCTCCTCCCTCACGGGCCTCTGTGGGTCTGTATCAATGAGTAACTTCTCATCTCTATATATATTACTTGGAAATATTTGTGAGTCATTGAGCCCCCCAATATATGTGCTTTGTTGTCTGGCTTGACAGGTGTCCAATTATCATAATTTATGTCTTATTGCCTGTCTTGACTTGTGTTCCGTTATCCTGATTTGTGTCTTATTATCTTTCTTGACCTGTGTACCAGTACCATTCACTATAATCTCACCATCAAGATTTTCTTCCCATTGCCATGAATTGTGCTTCACCATTCATCTTAGAGTTGCGTCTTTCAATGTTGCTCACTATACATCCCAACACTTATGCCTGTTCACCATAATCAGTGTCACATCACCATAGCCTAAGTCTCGGCACAGTGAGCAATCTCTACGACCCTGCATCTTTGTCCCACCTCCATAGCCCACATGTTGTCTCATGTAACAGCCCATTCTCCTGTTTTAATAGTACTTATGGGAAGGATGAGAACCACGGTACATATACCGACGTACGACGCAGTTAGAAAGTAGAAATCGGTAGTATTAAATTTGGACAAACCGGAAAAGATTTTCTACTTATGTTGCAAAGGCGAACTGAACAAACCTAACCTTACCTTCCTAGGCCTAATACACGCTAACTGAGCCCTAATATAGTACATATATGAGCTATACTAGGCCTAGGAATATTTAAGTTTGTTATTAGTTTAATTTTTTCAGACTATAAAGTGAATAGTACAAAATTCTACTATTTAACTGCTTAGTACGTCAATGTTTGTACTGTGGTGCACATAGTTACAAAAACTATTATCTAAATAGCAGGATGAGTTGGGAACCACTGACTAAGGTCTAAGACCTGAGAAAATACATCCAAAGCAACCTATCCTATCCTAACCTAACGTAACCAAAATAAGAGATAAACGTTTGTTTTATAATTAAAATTATTTCTAATTCATTGATAATTAGACAATAATTATTATATGGCATGAACACGGTGTATGATGTCACGATGACTGTGATAATTTTATTCCGGCATTGGATCTGGATCCTTCTGTGTGCATGACTGCCTTATTCTAATGTCACGATCCATTCTCGGTTGCATAGGGTCGTACCGCGAGTACCGAAACATGACGGCATCTGTGAGGAATCAACCGCTCTCCACCTCAATCATTAACGTCAACTCGGAAGATGCCATCTTTCCTCCTTGCCTCTTCTTCATGGGTAAGTGTTTTTGATTTTCACCTTTTTTTATGATAGTCAGCCATCTGCCTGTTCTCCGTGGGAAACGCAATGTTTTCTCGTCTGTACCTATGTGACTTGCTAGAAGCTCGTGCCCGTTCTTCTGGGTCTCCAGTTCTTTAATCCCGTCTCTCGGCTGCTTCCTGCTTATCTAGATTCTGGATCTTTGTATGAACAATTGTCTAAACTTCCATTGTAACCAAATGTTCAGACTGTTATTAGTTAGTGTTAGGTACTCGCTAGTCCTTTACGAAACTTCAATACCAGAACTATTTATACTTATAACTTATGATAAATGAACTCATATTTCCCATAAACTATTCATACTTATTCTACTTATATTGAAGGATTTAAGTTAATTCATAGTTAATTTATCGGAAATTGTAAATTTACCCTGTGTGGTTCGCAGCAGTAAATGTTTCAAGTGGACACTAATTATATGGCCATACTTCTTCGTAAGTGGATTTGTTGAGTAGCAGGAACCCAGATTTCTTTATCTAGAACTTCTCGAGTCTTTGTGAGTGAATGTCTCAACTTATCAAATTTGTCTTCAAGAGTAACAAGGCCATGTGGGCCGAGCTGTAGCAGTGACGTTAAGAACGATGTAATTTACACTATTACTCAAATTAAACACCTTTATGACTTTTTTATAATGACACGATTCAGTTTCCCATTGTCGGGAGTTGAGAACCTATTGGGCTTATCAAGCTTACCGTAGGTGATCATCCCCTAAGATGCAACCCAAAACAGTCGACTAACTCCAGGCATCTATTAACTTAAGCTGATTATAATTAAAAGTGTGTAGGCTGAGAAAACGTACTCAAACGTCTGGCACTGCCTGGGGTAACGAACCCATGACGGTTGCGAGACGACTGCGCTAAGCGACATTCAGTAGAGTGCGTAACACTCAATGTTGACACATGTGGCTCTTGTCATCACAGGTGGCCCTGGGAGTGACAAGTGGCGGCTGATGAGCGGCATCACGTACCTGTACCCAGGGTGGGCGTGTGTGTGTGTCGGCCAGATGCTCCGTGACCACGTTGCTTGCTGGAGGGAGGACCCGGAGACCTACACGGCGCTGCCCAGCGAGAAGGTCGTCATGATACAGAATCTTATGCGCAAAGGCGAGCTGGTGCCCCAGGTGAGGCAGGTGGAGGTGTTGATCAGGTGAGGCAGGTGGAGGTGTTGATCAGGTGAGGCAGGTGGAGATGATCATACTGATGAGGGGGGGGGGACGAGCCGGTACCCAAGGTAAGGGAGGGGTGATCTAGTATCCCAGGCGAGACAGGAGCAAAGGGTACAGGTGAGGGAGTCCTGAGATGGTTTCCCGTGGTCGGTCGGACGGCTCAAACAGAAAACGGAACAGAACGTCACTTTTGTGAGTCGATTTCATTTCAAATTACGTCCAAATTTGGCCATAGTGCGCATACGAGCCAAAAGTGACGTTATTTTTAAGAGGACGGGTTGACCCAAAGGTAAACTGTACGGGCTTATCGAAGTCCCCCCCCCCCCCCGCTGCGCTAGTCCGACTACTGAACGTCCCCCCCGATTCAACCCACAACAGTCGCATAATTCTTGGATACCAATTTCATGCTAGATGAACAGAAGCATCAGATGTAAGGGAACGTGCCATAACATCTTGTTCTTCAAGTTAATGAAAAGAGGATGAAGACCTAGACGAAGGAGGCACCATCGTTGTAATATAGGAGAGATGATGGCAAAGGCGAAGAAGTATAAGGTGGTGCTGAAGATGTGGTGGAGGCTTGGTGGCGGGACGGAGGAATGTGGAGGCGCTACAGCATGCTGCAACATATAAGTAACGCCACTAACAAGAAGCCAGATTCACGAAGCAGTTACGCAAGCACTTACGAACCTGTACATCTTTTCTCAATCTTTGGCGGCTTTGTTTACAATTATTAAACAGTTAATGAGCTCCGAAGCACCAGGAGGCTGTTTATAACAATAACAACAGTTGATTGGCAAGTTTTCATGCTTGTAAACTGTTTAATAAATGTAATCAAAGCCGTCAAAGATTGAGGAAAGATGTACACGTTGGTAAGTGCTTGTGTAACTGCTTCGTGAATCTGGCCCAAGGAATGGATGGTTGCTGCAAGTGAGGAAGGTGCTTCAGCTTTCCTCACTACAAGGGTCCGGGGCGTGACACAATTTTGTTGCAGATTATTGTTTGTAGCAAATTGATTATATATATTACCATGAGCTGAGTTTTGCTTTGCGCTTTAAAACGGTGCAATCAGATGTACAACACGACCACTCAGTTGGTTTCCAACCGAAATGTTCTAGGTTCGATCCCAGGGTTGAACGAAACGTTTGGGCACGTTTCCTTACACTTTATGAATCTGTTCACCAAGCAGTAAATAGGCACCAGGGAATTAGGTGATGTTGGGTGGCATCGTTGTAAGTCTGTAGCTGACTAAACTGAACTTCAATAAGTCTTAAACAGGCTTCCTTTCTCCGATTATGGGAACCCAGTTAACTCTTTTGAACCTCTCCAACAGTACCCCAAATACAATTATCTGTATTCACGTTCCCCTGTTAATTAGATGGGTTATTTATTGGTACATTTTTTTCTCCTGGTGAAAAAAAGGGTGAATGCAAACTGTGTAATGAAAATAAAACCAATACCAGGGGAATATTTTTGTTGTTTTGTTGAATATTGCATATGTTGTACAGTAAACATTTCTCTACAAGATGCCAATAGAAGTATATCTACAGCAATTATAGTTTGCTGAATGATAATGTTCAAAAGAATAAGGTTAACATCACCAAAATCACTACAAAGTAAAGATTTATAGTCAGCTAATATGAATAATAATTAAAATTAAATTAACAAGTAATTGTTTCAAGAAAATATATTTTTAGATACTTTTGTACCTTTAATTATTTGTCAACATTGTAATGATATATATATTATTTTAGAGCCAAGTTTAATAAATTCAAGGTAAGTCCATTTATCAGCGGCGTGATGATGCCATACAGGGGATCATGGCGTCGCCTCCACAAGATGGTCACAGTTGTCCCAGACAGTAGGGCCCGCCTCGAGTCTCACGTCCGTGGTCTTAAAGGGCCAGATTCACGAAGCAGTTACGCAAGTACTTACGAACGCGTACATCTTTTCTCAATCTTTGACGGCTTTGGTTACATTTATTAAACAGTTTACAAGCATGAAAACTTTCCAATCAACTGTTGTTATTGTTATAAACAGCTTCCTGGTGCTTCGGACCTCATTACCTATTAAATAATTGTAAACAAAGCCTCCAAAGATTGAGAAAAGATGTACCGGTTCGTAAGTGCTGGCGTAACTGCTTCGTGAATCTGGCCCCTTGTCCGGTACTTGTGACGAGTTCTCTGGAGTAGGCAGACAAGAGGGCGAGGTCTAATGCGGCTTGGGACGCCTTAGGGCCCCCGAGTCTTGGCTGTGATCAATAGACAACTAACTGCTCAGCTGGGATGTGTTACCATCTTATTAAGTGTGGGGTGTCTACTGGTGGAGGCGCGCTGCCCCTGAGACAGCGTTGTCTCAGCCAATCACCTCCGGTTATGACCTTGCGGGATAAAACAGTCCCGCCGGCGGCAATTTCAATCTGATTCTCTCCACAGTTTGTAACACTAAAGTACATACAACTAAATGAATAACAACATGTAGACTGCAAACAAGAGTAAAGTCACCCTGAAAATGCTGTCTGGTGCTCTGGGTGAAGTGGTTCACCCATTCAAGAAAGATGGCTTCTTTGGTTAGCAAAACTGTGGTACGAGCATTCATCCATTATGCATAGCTTTTAAATACTATAAAGTAAAAATGCAGAAGTCTTCTGATTCGTGTTTGCTGACTAACAGGTCTTCCTCCTACAGATTAATATTTGCAACTCACCTGAAGCCTTTTCCCTGCTTGTTTTTCCCAGAACTCAATCCGTTATTCGGTTTACAACCAGGTATCCAGTTACTGCTGGGTGAACCGAGAGCCAACGGTGCCAAATCGTCCTTCATCTGCCTGACTTTATTACATAGTAATCCTAGGCGTCAATTTGTTCACCTGCCTTGAGATCTCTTAGAAATATCTCCCTCTCACAGGATTTAATTCTGGATTTAGTGAAGACACAGCTGGAAGATCTCAAGTCGCATGAGGGAATTGTGTTGGTTGGGTTTCCTCGAGACATTATTCAAGCTCAGAACTTCGAGGAAAAGGTAGGAGTGCTGCAAGACGTTTTTTTGTGTTGTATTTCTCTCTCTCTATATATATATATACAAAAGTACTTAAGGAAAATCCTATCTCAATTCTTCCTCCGTGGTATGGATCAAATATATGTTGTACTTAGTAGCCAGAACGCACTTTTCTGCCTACTATGCAAGGCCCGATTTGCCTAATAGGCCGAGTGATTTTTTTTATTTTCAATAAAATGTTTCCAATTAGTTTATTTGAATTATTATTATTATATTATATTAAGAACATATATTATTGACTTAGTTGTGTTAGTTTAGATTAGGTTAAGATAGGTTAGGTTAGGTAGGGTTGATTAGGTTTGGTCATATATCTACGTTAGTTATAACACAGATTAAACAAAATTAACTCATACATCAATAAATAGATAGCTTTATCATTTCACAAGAAAAAAAATAAAAAATATATATATTCAAGAAAAATTGGCTTATTAGGAAAATCGGGTCTTGCATAGTAGGCCGAGAAGTGCGTTCTGGCTACTAGGTACAACATATACATTATATATACATTATATATATTATATATATATATATATATATATATATATATATATATATATATATATATATATATATATATATATATATATTTTGTGACGGTAAAGCGTTGGTGTTCGGCTGTTTCAAAAGCTAGGGGCAGGGCCTCGTCACATGACAAAAAAAAGAAGAGAAAAGTTGGTCCTTTCGTCTGTGGTAAGGTAATGGGAAGACACACAAACACAAGTATATAAACAATGAAATTTTGATTACTCTAGAAAACGAGACATGAATAAAGGTAATCTCATAAAAATATGCAGGACAAGTCAACAAACAAAATAACATGAATAATCACTGGCAAATGAAAAGTTACGCTAAGACAAGTAAGTTACAGTGATAGCAAAATAAAATATGAGTTCTGGAATATTGGCTTCGAGCTGCCACCTCCCTTAGTACACGAAAGCCAAGGCTTAGTCTACCAGCGAGAGATGTCAACTGCATGGAGCACTGAGATATTCTGACGAGACTGGCGCACTGCAGCCCAGACGTCGACTTGTGGTGGAGGTGGAGGGCAGGTGCGACGAGACACCAGCCAATCAGCAACAGGCAGGCAGAGGATGAGCAGTTAGCTGGTTACGGTGGTGGCCAGGTGTTGGGGTACGATTTGCTCTCTGGGCAAAACGTTTGGCGATACTTGGTGAACGTATCTTGTATTTTGACGTAATTATGTAGGGAAGAGCAGGCTCAATCTCTCTTGAAAGAGATTATCGTCACAAAATATATATATATATATATATATATATATATATATATATATATATATATATATATATATATATATATATATATATATATATATATATATATATATATATATATATATATATATATATATATATATATATATATATACATATATTTACAAGGAAAATACTGCATTATAAATAGTTTATATAATTTATATAAACTATTTATATAATATTTAAATATATACTATTTAATTTATATAATAGTTTATATAATTCTCAGTAAACCAATTTTTCATATCATCACTTAGCATGAGCCTTAAACCCCAAATGTTATACTTGATCCTGCCTCGCAAGAACTTCAATATTTTATCTGAATTGAATATTTCAGCTACGCCATCTCCATACATATATATCTGAATAGATTTATTTGTGATGAAACAAGGCATCAAAATTATGAGCACAAAAATACTACTCTAAACAACAACTATTGCTTGACTTGTTTGGAATCTTCTTTTGCAGTTTCACCAGATCCCTACACTGTTGCTGATCGACTGCTCGGAGTTGGAGCTGGGCAGGAACTTAGGCAGGAGAGAGAACCGTCTTGATGACAACGTGGCAGCAGCGCGTAGACGACTCGCCATCTACAGGGAGGTCACTCTTCCCATGTTGAAGGCCTTTGATGAGAAGAATAGGCTGAAAATTGTGAGTACCTGTATTATCTCTTTGGCCCTCTTAGACCTTTATGACAGCTCACTAACCTGTGCTTGTCATGACCCTCTTTGACCTTGATAACATCTCAGTGACCTGTGGTTATTATGACCCTCTTTATATAGCTTTTTATGATATGCATTATATATCAACCCTGTGAAAACTTCAGCAAGATTCAATGTTTTCAACCATTCAAGTCTCAGTGAATCCCTAAGAGGTTGTAAAGCATACTTTTCCAGGAACAATATGCAGCCTACAATAGCTCTCGTGTTTTAGCAGATATCGTCCAGGTGTCTGCTGGAAAACGAGAGTTTAGCAAGCAATTATAACTGCCCTCTTGACTCCTAATGTATTTAAAAATTTATTGTGCGGTTCCAAAGTCAACACCGCCCATGGAATGGGTATGGGGGGGGGGGGGTACATAATACATAAAGGAATCTGACTCTGAATCCAAAAGTCAGATCAATTGATTGAAATCTAAATCTTCAGTTTTGCTAACAGATTGACGGCGACGCAGACTGGGAGCAAGTGGAAAGGGAAGTGAAGCGCGCCATATACGTCGAGACGCAGAGCCTGGGTCGACGAGTCCACAGGTCGGCCACCCACACGCCCACACCCTCCTTGCGGGAGACCTCTTCCCCACGCCCTGCCAGTCCTTGCTTGTCTGCCGCTACGCACCTCAGGTTCACGCTCTGTGTTGTCGCACTCGCTCCTCACTCACCCTTGTCCACTCATTTAAAAACATGCTTGACAACTCTTAACTCATCCTTTGGCCACGCACCCTGACTCACCAGCAAGTGCTTCCTGGACATGTCCACTTTTGATCCATTAGTAATACACACGAAAGCCTATGTCAGCGTATTTACACTCCCTACTCACCATCCTGCACGGCAGCTTGTTCATTCATACTTCCAAATCAGTACCATACCTATCCATCCACTCGTTTTAATTACTTTACTTTATCTACTATGTACCCTCGCTGTCCATCCCGGCAGCGTATGGTGGAGAGTTACAGAGGCACATAATGGGCTCAGGAACTGAACCCCCAATATTTATTTGGTTAAGCAAGTTACAACATTGATTAATCAATTACAGTCTTTTTTAATTTGCAAATCAACAATCAATCCAGTTAGCGTTGCCAGGGAACACGGTTATTTGTACCCATTTAGTGGTTGATGTCAGTACCTTCCAGCCCACAGGAGGCAACTTACCCTTTTTTACACACCTGAGAGATTGTACACACCTAAGAGATTTTACACATCTGAGAGATATTCATAAACTGAGAGATATTCTACATCTGAGAGATATTCCCACATCTGAGAGATATTCCACACCTGAGATATATTTCATACATGATAAATATTCCGCACCTGAAAGCTATTCCACACCTGAAAGGTATTGCATACCTGAGAGATATTCCACACCTGCAAGGTGTTCCACGCCTGCGACATATTCCAAACCAGAGAGTTATTTCACACCAAAAGAGATATTCTACACATGTGAGGTATTCCACACCTGAGAGATATTCCACACCTGAGACAACACACATAAGATACAGAACACGCCTGAGAAATGGCATACATACAAAAGATATCAAAATCTTTGAAAAGGTCCCTCATACATACATTGAGAGTAGTGCACTCTACATACATTTATTAACTTGATCAAATATATAATATTGCTATATTAGAATACAATAGTTTTAAAAATAATAATGATCTCTTCAGGTTATTAATTAAATATATATGTAGTTATAATTAACATAGTTCTTAACTTTCTATTGCAGAGACCCGTCAGATGAAGACACGAGTCAGGATCATGTCAACAGTAATGTTCTGGCACTCCCTAGCCTCGATCACAATGTTTTGACACTCCCTACCCATGGCCACAATGTCTTGGCATCCCCTAGCATTGACCACAAAGTTCTGGCATCCCCTAGCCTTGGCCGCAATGTCTTGGCATCCCCTAGCATTGACCACAAAGTGCTGGCATCCCCTAGTATTGACCACAAAGTGCTGGCATCCCCTAGTATTGACCACAAAGTGCTGGCATCTCCTAGTATTGACCACAAAGTGTTGGCATCCCCTAGCCATGACCCCAAAATTCAAGCACCCTCTAGCCATGGCCTCAAGGTCTTAGCGCCCCCTAAACATGACCATATGGACACCAGATCAATATCGCAACATGATATTGATGATGTGGATGTCATAGAAACAACACCCAAGAACTCTATGAAATGCAAGGGGGTCTGACATCCGAAGGAGTTACACATAGTTTGGCGAAACAGGTCTCTGCTAATGCTCTCTTCCATTAGAAACAAGGTTGACGACCCTGAAAGACATCTGAGCAGCACTTCGACCTGTTTCAGTTGTTTTCGAGCTTCTAAGAAGCAGAATGGTTGGCGGTGTGTTGACACAACCCGTATTCTCGTTCTGCTTCCTCGTGTGGGTTTTATTGTCCTAGTTTGTGATCCGGAGGCCGACTAGAGAGTGTATGTCTCTCTCTATATGTAAATATATATTGTTTTCTATACACATTATGTCTCATGCTAGATTATTAATATTAGAGCATTATAATACTGAATAATTAATCATAAGTGAGAAATATGTTATTAAACAATAACCTAAGAGCGACAAAATTAACGGAATAACAATATTCTTAGTAAATGATTTCTTAGTCTTACGTTATGCATTGCAATTTTAAGCGAACTATCCCATTAACATCTCTCTGTGGTAAGGAAATTCTTATAAACAGTAAATTGCCTCCAATTGCCAGTAATCGGCAAATATCTTCACTGAATGGGGGATAATACAAACTTCATTTTCTGAAGAATTTACACATTAGATCTCAGGAAGTAATGGTTGGACTACGTTCATTCAGATCTAAAAACCTCTTTGAGCTAGTGACCTTAATATGCTCAGTGATAAACAACAACGTTTCGTCATATGTAGCATAGGAAATAGTAGACAACAGTAGTGATTTTATAACGTATTTGAAACATTAAATGGTGAATATTATCAAATCAGTCATATTGCCTTCACTGGAGGGCATAATAGCTGAAACTTGTTGTTAAATAGAATATGTAAGCATGCAGAAATTCACTAAAAGCTGGGTTTGTTAGCAGTGCTAATGTATATATAGTTGTAAATACAGGAAGGTTGGCTTCAGTATTCACGGTAAGATACTCATAGTCAGTCATTATTGAACAGTTTTTAGGTTTTGTTAAATGCATTTGTATATATTTACAAGACTGAATTCCAGTGATGTTCAAATAATTTTCAAGATGCATTTCTTCACTAATGTTAAGCTTCAGATAGACAGGTCATGAGGACATTAGTTTCCACTTACACGATTGGAACAAATAACAATAGTTTCCACTTACACTATTGGAACAAAGAGAACAGAACGTAGTGCCTTGGGACTGACTTGTCAACAATAAAAAGCCACTACTGAAACATTGCAAAAAAATATTATCCTTGACAAGTTACTTTCGAGGGAAATGCTGCTCATGAACGGCACCACATTTCTTAGGAACTGTGAAATAGAAAAAAATATTTTTATTTTTTTCGTAGGAATAACCTGTTATAGAGGATATAAAATATGTTCTTAAACACATTGGTCAGGAAGAAAACATGTCGAAAGATTTATGTAGTACAATCACGTGTGGCAGGGGAAAGCACAGACAAATCCGAAAGAGTTCAGACAAATCCAAAATTTGGTTCAAGAGTTACCACTGAAGGTCAGTATATTTATAGTTCTAGTTTCAAGGTCTCAGCCCTTAAATCTCTTACATGGGACCTAGCCAAGAGTTACACTTACCCAGAATGTATCCCAGGGTCATATTATCTCTAGCGCATTCAAGCGTTCAGCAGGTTAAGTACCGTTGGAGCTGGCCAGTAACAGGATGAGTGACCCTGCGGAAAGCCTCGCCCGTATCTTGGGAAAATTGTCGATGAACCTGTCTGGGTAAGCCACACTAAGTTTGACTATTAGACTATTACAACTAAAGAAGTAAAACAAGTTAGTACTGTATATAGTTATCTAAGCAAAGACTTTTAAGACTTTTAAGTTTGTATTCTTTAAGAGAATGGTGTTCCTTGTGCCACCACTGACGTTATGACATACTTAACCAGCCCAGCAATACTACTTAATGTAAGATATATACTGTGGTGATATTCATCACTTAATACGTAGTTAGGTAATACAAAACTAGTGTTCGTTATATTGTATTTCGAGTTACTTCACATTGTTCAGTTGCCAGGGAATAACAATCATAAAATGATCTCATAGCCTATTTACCGATTTTCTGTATTTTCACAAGAACAAATATAATTTTAAGTGCAAGTTCTCTCTAATTATAAGCTGTACCTGTGCATATTATAGAAGGCGGTTATCTTTTGTGCCTTAATTGTACGCCCACCCACATTTAATCCTTTTGTGTTCAATTTCCCCAAGATGAAATGGTATCATTGGGAATAAACTCATTGTGTGTTCAGCTAGACTTCACTTGCACATTCCCCTGAGTCTAACGGAACCACAGTCCGAATCCTCTTTACGTTTTGCTCTCTAATGAAACATTGGTGCTTCTGAAGAAACGTTGCTGTCTAATAGCATTTGGTGCTTCTGAAGAAACGTTGTTCTCTAATGAAACATTGGTGCTTCTGAAGAAACGTTGCTCTCTAATAAAGCATTAGTGCTTCTGAAGAAACGTTGCTCTTTAATAAAACATTGGTGCTTCTGAAGAAACGTTGTTCTCTAATAGCATTGGTGCTTCTGAAGAAATGTTTCTAGATAGCTATTGCATGTCGAGAGACGCCATTGTTTCCCCTTGCAGTTTTGACAGCAAATTTGCCTCATTTGTCTGGAGAATTCACTTCCCAAGGCAGGCAATATTATGACGACTGTCAAGCTAAGGACGTAATGTGATTTATCGTTGCATTGATATGGTAAACTGAATCACATTAGGTTATGTTTTATTTGTTATTATTAAAATTAAATTTTTTGCCATGTTAGATATTTCAGGTGCCATGTTAATTATTCATCATTTTTAATAAATGCATCTAACATATGTAAAGTTTTTTGTTAAATTTCTGTACAATATACAAATTTTGAGTGTATTAATGAGTAAATACGTTAAACATGTATTAACGGAAATAATGACTATACTGTATATACAGTATTGAACATAATTTATGATTTTTTTTAGCTAATTCTGTAATCGAACATATTTGGGATATTTTGTGCATGTAATGTATAATGAAATGTATTGTTAAATTGCATTACAATGTATTTATCCTGCATCAGTGTTAATACTGACTAATAACATAGCCTAATATAACGTGACCTGACCTCATACTTAGCTAAAACAGCGCACCCAAACACGTCCTACATAAGGTGGGGATCAAAGCCTCGTTCTGGGCTAGGCTATCAGGGCCTTGCCCCTGGACTAGACTATCGAACCTCGTTTTGTGCTAAGCTACTAGACCTTCCTTCTGGATTAGGCTACCAGAACCTCGTCCTAAGCTAGGTTATCACTTCCTTATCCTGGGCTAAGCTACCAGAGCCCTTGTCCTGGGCTAAGCTACCAGAGTCCTTGTCCTGGGCTAAGCTACCAGAGCCCTTGTCCTGGGCTAAGCTACCAGAGTCCTTATCCTGGGCTCAACTACCAGAGCCCTTGTCCTGGGCTAAGCTACCAGAGCCTTTGTCCTGGGCTAAGCTACCAGAGCCCTTGTCCTGGGCTAGGCTACCAGAGCCCTTGGGCTCAACTACCGAAGCCTCGCCATGAGGTAGCCTGCGGAACATCGTCTTTGGCTCTGGAGACTTACCGGGATATAAACCCTGACACTGGTATACCACACAAAACCAGCTTGTCTTTGGTGAAGCTCACAAAGCTTTCATGATTTTCCCACACAACCCCCTCCCCTCCTGGTGCTACATAGCCTTCCCGGCTTGGTGCCTTTTTGGATTATTACTTCGCACACACACCCTACACTGTTGCGCGTTATCCCCCTCTTTTTATTTGATTCTGATAAGGTGGCTTTATTAGTATTATCATTAATAGTAGGAATAGAAGTAGTAATATTTGCAGTATTATAAATTATTATTATTAATGAGCCTCATGACCATTTTGTGGACGGTAGTAATGTAACAATATATAATTGGTCTGATGATACAAGACTGATTTTGGTCATTATCTGTCAACATTAATAAAGTCTGATGCAAGAGGATACCATACGGTCGTGTTTTCATTGATTTATTTTACATTTATCAATAAACTAGTTATGCTTTATTATTATATATTTTTATTTTCACATCCTCTAAGAATTGTAGTATTAAGTGATATTTACACGAGGTTGTCTTATTATGGATTAATAACCTTGCAGACGTTGATGGACTTAATAACCCTCAAGAGGTTCATAGGTCCTAATAACCCTACAGATGTTAATAGCCCCTAGTGACCCACTAGAAGTTGAGAATACTTTACAAACTCTCCAGGAGATTCATAGATCTTAATAACCCTCCAGAAGTTGAGTGGTCTTTATAACCCTCCAGAGATTGAGTGGTTTGATAACCCTCCAGAGGATGATAGGTCTTAATTACCACGCAGAGGTTAATGGCCTTAATAAGTCTCCGGAGGTTCATAGGCCTTTATAACCCTTCAGAGGTTAATAATCGTTAATAATCCCCCCTAGAGGTTAAGTGATTTTAATAACCACCTTAATGTTGATAGGCCTTAATAACCCTCCAGATATTGGTATGCCCTAATAACCCTCCAGATGTTGATAGGCCTTAATAACCCTCCAGATATTGATATGCCCTAATAACCCTCCAGATGTTGATAGGCCTTAATAACCCTCCAGATATTGATAGGCCTTAATAACCCTCCAGATGTTGATATGCCCTAATAACCCTCCAGATATTGATATGCCCTAATAACCCTCCAGATGTTGATAGGCCTTAATAACCCTCCAGATGTTGATAGGCCCTAATAACCCTCCAGATGTTGATAGGCCTTAATAACCCTCCAGATGTTGATAGGCCTTAATAACCCTCCAGATGTTAATAGGCCTTAATAACCCTCCAGATGTTGATAGGCCTTAATAACCCTCCAGATGTTGATAGGCCTTAATAACCCTCCAGATGTTGATAGGCCTGGCTGGAGAAAGTCAACTTTGTGCTGTGAATTATTATTTCCGAAGTTAAACCTGGGACCAAGTTTCACTATAAGACAAAAGTTACCCACCTGCAATATGGCATAATTTAAGGATTAGTACTTTCTTAAAGAGCTTGCGGGGGTTGAGTTTTTTCTCTTTGGTCTAATCAATCAGCTGGTGTACAGATTCTTGAACCTGTTGGGCTCTGTAAAATCTACATCTGAAACTGTGTATGGAGCCTGTATCCACCACATCACTGCCTAATGCAGTCCATTTGTTAACTACTCTGACTGACAAATTCTTTGTAATGTTTCTGATTTCACGTAGATGATTGGCCTGCTCTTTCTCTGATATAACCATGGACGAATTATGACTTCCGTAGGCGTTAGGCAACTCAAAGATATGGGGCCACATTTAACAGCATATTCACTGAAAAAAACAGGTTAGTACCTACTATTTTGCTTTCGTCTGTGGCCAGAATATGCCTAAATATAATAGTATAGAAAATAAACAAGTAACATAAATAGATACTAAGAAGATTAATTAATAGATAAATGGAAAGAAGTACCGGTACCTCGTTATCAATTAATATCACGTAGAAAAACGGGAAGAAACGTTCTCCCTTTATTTTTAGTAGGTACTCACTGTTTCGTAGGCCCTAGTCACTGTGCCTAATGGAGAGTGCGGCACTGGTTCATACAGCTGTGAAACTGGCCAAGCGATCAGAGGTAAACTGTTACCATCAATCTGATTGGTAAAACCAAAAATATTACTGCCATCTGTTAGGAGGCAGGTGAATTACGACGCTAGGCTTAAAACCTGTGTAAGAAATGCATCATACATTATAGGTCATGAGTGAATATGAATATAACCAATCTGATATGATGAGAGAACATAAATATATGAAAGGGTATTAAAGATGATAGAAATAAGGTGTTTTTTTACTCTAGTAACACAGAATAGAACACGAAACAATGAATATAATTTAGAGAAGTTCAGATTCAGGAAAGACCTGGGTAAATACCGGTTTGGAAAAAGGATTAATTTATGGAACAAATTACCGGGTAACAAAATAGACATTGTTTCACCGGATTGTTTCAAGTGTTGGCTAGACTTAAATATGAATGAGCTTGGAAGGATATAAAAAATATATAAATAGGTCTCGTATAGGCTTTATAGTAGGGTGGATATAAAAGATATAAATAGGTCTCGTATAGGCCTTCTGCAGTTTCATTCATTCTTATGTTCTATACCATTTAGGAGAACGGGCTGGTATAGCCGCCCAAGTTCAAGTATGTTTATTGAGACAAGGAAAAAGAGAACATCTCAAAGGGATAGAGCAGCTTAGGCTATTTCTCACCCCCCTTATAGCCGCCCAAACTCATTGTTATATATGTCTAACCTCCGCCACGTCAAACTACGTGCTTACTCATAAACTGAATAACATTCTTATACACTTATGACACTTGTTTACACGAGCGACATGTATGATAGTATTTCGTTTATATAAGAATTTGATATAAAACGAATTGATCATAAGGGTGGCGTTCAGTGTATACTTCCTCAGTGGCAGGAGTGTATTGTGTTGGTAAGTCTCATGCTGACTCAAAGTGTGCTGTGCTGAACATTGTTGTGTAGGAGAAGTACTGTACTTCTCTGTACTTCAGAGAAGTACAGAGAACACCTCAACAGTACTTCAGCTCTTGAGGTGTTTTGCAAAACAGGTGATGTACAGAGTACGTACTAAGCAAGACAAGTGCTGCAACGAGGAGGCCTGGTCGACGACCGGGCCGCGGGGTCGCTGAGCCCCGGAATCACCTCAAGGTAACCTCAAGGTAAGCTGCATAATAGGGGAAATACATAGGGTCTCTACATTAAAGGTGCTGTGGACAACAGGTGTTATAGGACAGATACTGTACGATACACGTGGTATACAGAATAGGTGTTAAATGTTTCAGCTACCATTTTTGTTATGATTAGTGCCACTGAATTGAAATTTTTTGTTATGATTAGTGCCACTGAATTGAAATTTAAATAAGTGTATTCATCCACATACTACCCTTGAACATTCTGGTGGATAAACATAGGCATATCTTCCTTTACACATGAAGTATGATACCAAACGTACACACACAAATAATTTTGACTACTCGTAAGCACATAGCCATAAATATACATACGTAAGTAAGTACTTACGTATGTATATTTACGTAAGTAAATAAGTACATACGTAAGTACATAGCCAATAAAGAGGCTACAAATAGACATTCAGACAAATCAACGAAATATTAGAATCTTAGTGGAAAATTCTTATATCTCTCCCGAATATCATCAATCTTTCCACTGTGAGATATTTAGGCTGTTTGTTCAGGAACAGTCCTTATCATTATTAATTCAACGTAGAAGAAATCTTGAGTTAATACTTTGAAATTTCATCAATTTAATAATATAAATTTGATCATATGATCAGTAATAATTTTACGGTCCCTCCCAATTTAGTAATAGTTTCTACATTGACTTACAAACGCTGGGTGAGAGAGGAGGGAGGTTCCGCCATAGCTGCTCCACAAGCTGGGATTTCTTCTAAATCAATTCTAGGCTATTTCCGCCGCACTTTGAAGCTCTTCTTCATAGTAGGTGCAGTTTGCATGAAGGGTTTGTCCTCCCGATAACTGCACCAGTACACATGTTGGGAGACACGTGATGTCGAGGATGATAAGAGCTTCAAAAGTGCTTGTCGCGTTGTGGTGTAGGTAGAGGAGCGGCGACTAGAACAGAGGTGTGTGTTAGAGGGAGACTTGCCGCACCGTAGGGCGGTGTGTTGTGTTTATGGCGTCAGCTGATCCATGGTGCTACCACGAGGCATTTGTGTTCTGTGTTTAGCTGTTGGTGGCGCCAGGTAGAAATGTGGCGCGGGTCAGATGTGTCCCATTGATACAGCTATAAATCAATCAGAATGTAACTGCATCTATGTATGTACTTTTCCTAAATAAAATATTATTATTATTATAAATATTATTATAATGGCTCCAAAAAGCCTCCACTTACGGGCTCACCATAGCCCGTGCTACTGGAACTTCTTGTTCTGAGTAGATGAATCTAAATCAACAAGATGTGGCCCAATTTGTTGGTCGACTGGAGATATTTACCCAGTGCTTTGACTCTTTGGTATTTTTCCTGTAACGAGTGGTCACCTCCTCCTAATGTATGCCCGATGGTAAAGGGTATTTTAAGTGCGATAAATACTTGTTTGAAATTTACTCTAGCACTATGATGTCTGAAGCAGTGAAGGAGATAGTGTTCGATTGTTTCAGGCACCTGACAGTGGATGCAGAGTTCGTTGATGTCTGTTCTGTACTTAGAGCTGTGTGCTGCTAGTTTAGTGTGGCACAGCCTTAATCTGGTCGTCGTTACATCAATTTCTCTGCTTTTTATATCGGACATGTTTCCAAGTTTCCCATTTCTTTTTAATGGACCCATAGTACAAAGGTGAGCATGACGTTTTCCATTTCGTTGCAAAATCTTGGGTAATGGTATCTTTGAAGGCTCCTTTACGTGCAGCATGAGGAATTGGATGATTGGTAATGTGAGGTGTGTTGTGCATTGCTTTGGCCAGTTGATCTACAAGTTCATTATGGAGAATACCACAATGTTCTGGGCAGTTAGCAGTCCATATCAACACGAGCCCTGTTCCGACCCATGCTTATACGTATTTCTGTTCTCCCAGTGGTGGCTTATAGATAGGCCTAGGGAGAGGTTGGGCCGGCTATGAGCGGGGAACCCCCAAACACAGTGTAAGGAGTTAGTTATAAATATTCATAAATTATGCATTGAATAAATTGGGAGTGTTGTTATATAATAATTGAATGCTTCCCCAAATTAATAAGGTATAGGCCGACAGGAGGAATTAGTACCAGGACATGTTCTCTGGAGGTGACCATTAATCACAATGTTTACCCCAAGCACTTCTTGATTAACGGTGCAAGATAAGGAGATAAGGAACTAGATTAAAAGAGATAACCTAGATTAAAGGAGATAAGGAACACCAAGTGTTCGTTATCTCCTCTAGGTTACTGATGATCATAGAAGTTACTCTACATCTTAAGAAGTCGTACCAGCTAAGAAATTAAGTTCTAATATCATTCAGATCGCACAGTATAATCATTTAATATAATTAATATATTAATTATGACCTAGAGTTTGTTCCTCTGGCAATGGGCTTGTAATCGTATGTCTTGTGTCTTCATGTTATAAGGTTATGGTTTATATATATATATTATATATATATCACAAAGAACTCCATGACCCGATCAGGATTCAAACTTGCATTACCATGCTCACCCCACTGACATACCAACCCGTCCTCCCACTAGGCTGGTTAAAGCAGCGCCCGAACTCCCCAGACGCATTCATCAATTTTAAAACTGTGTATTAAAAATTGCTTTCTTCTCATATAAATGAATATTATATCATTAAAATTCTCTGTATATTTAGGCGTAGGTTAGGTTAGTTTAGGTGTTTGGGTTCTGTTGGCGATTAGTTGTATTTGAAGTACGTGGGTGACGCATTTATAGAATTGTGGTTCGAACATAGGACGTCAGTGAAGCACTTAGAGAAATGTTCCAACGTCATCAGTTGCAAGTCGAATGAAAACTGCTTTTCATTCATAAACAGGGGGTTTGGCGGCTGGATTAACGAGCTTGGGCCTGTGTTTATGAGGACGGGCTGGGCATACACAGTACCAATACCATTTCACTAGCGATTGCCTATAACGATTAGTTGGTCCTGGTGCCAACGAACTGAGCTCCATGATCAAGCAACCCCCGGTAACACTCAAGGTACAATTTGAGCACAGTTTTATATCAAATCCTGTTGCATGCACGGATCGCGCTAAGATGGTCGAAGATCAATGTCCCCAGCGGCCCGGTCTCCAACCAATCCTCGTAGTTGGTTGTCAGGTTAATTGGGCTTTTGTAGGTTTGAATGCTTTTGTACGGTAAAAGCGTTCATATTTGACGATTGTCATATATTTAATTTCCCTTATGTTTCATATTATTAACAGGTAATTTGCATGGTAATGTAAATTCTCAATGTTGCCCAAATGAATCCTCAAACAAAGCTCATCTCACAGAACGAACGGTTCAACATGAAGGTACTCAGGGGAACTTTCGTCCATTCTACGCCCGAATCTCCAATGGTCGTCCTCACAGACAGGGTCATGGGAGTCCTAGGCACTAAGGTAAGCTTGCAGACAGGGTTCTCAGTAACTGATAGCCCAAAGTCCTTTTAGTTCTAGGCCCAAGGATGAACTCTTATGGTCGTAGAAGCTCTAGGCAATATAGTTAACTCTGAAACAGGTGCTTCGAGTCCTCGTCAAGTTTGCAAACTTATAGAGGTGGGGGTTTTGGGAGAAAATGACATTACGTTCCGTTAATAACCAGGGGGCCAGATTCACGAAAGCACTTAGGCAAGCACTTATGAACATGTACATCTTTCCTCAGTCTTTGACGGCTTTGGTTACATTTATTAAACAGTTTACAAACATGAAAATCTCCCAATCAACTGTTGTTATTCTTACAAACAGCCTCCTGGTGCTTCGGAGCTCATTAACTGTTTAATAATTGGAAACAAAGCCGCCAAAGATTAAGAAAAGATGTACAGGTTCGTAAGTGCTTGCGTAAGTGCTTTCGTGAATCTGGCCCCAGATCCTAATCATATAAGCTTACATATACTGACATTAATTTGGGAACTGTATGTACTATAATAAACTTAGACTAGGCTCCGAAAGTTCTAGGAATCAAGTTTTCCTTTTAAGTTAAATTAAGAGACAGTTCTGTTAGCGCAGCATTTTACATCAAACTCGTAAAAAAGACCCTGGAAATACTAGGCCTTGAGATATTTCTTCAAAGTCGTGGTGTTAAAAGTTCTACCGAAAATGCAATCTTGTACGCTTGGTCTTAGAAACTAATGTTAATGCAGTCAGAATTATTTAAAAAAAAAAATCTATTTTGCAGCTAACCTTTATGAATGTGTTACAAAGACCTGTCTGAGATATACTATTATAAAATTTACACATCACTAAAGGAATGCTGCAAAACTCCATTATATATCCTTGTTGATCATCTAAAAATATTAATGTTTACAATATTGGTTGGTACTGTTATCTTTATTAGATTAACGAATAATGTAATTTTTTGTTGTAAAATAATATGATTAAATTGTGAAGGAAAAGATAAAAATAGTTAACACACTATATTCTAATTACATGAATGTAATTAGAATATAGTGTGTTAACCTATATCCTATTTTCCTATTAATCTTAATAGGAAATAGGAACTTAACAGGAAATCATACTTAATAGAAAAATTGAATGAGGCTACACCCAAACTTACAATGAGCGTGGAGGTACTGAGCTGGTATCCACACTTTGATGGGTTATTTAAAAGATCTGTTGCAGAATCTCAAATTAATTCAAGGCTTTATATGTCTCCTAAAGATGCACGTGTTTCCAAGCAAGAAAATGGACCGCTCTACCTTTTACAATTCAGGAATAAATAAAAGCAGGCAACATGGAGCAACAGTCTCTCAGACTAGCATCAATCAACGCATAATACTATTATAAATTAATGTAAGGTTTAGAAAATTAGAACGAGTAGGGAGACGAATTCTAAAACTACCAAGTGTGACAAAAAAATCGCCATTGAAGCAGCTCAGAAAATATTAGATAGATCAACACCAACGATGTTTTTAAGACAATGTACGAAGTTGAAGCTCCTGCTTTCTTATCTAATAAAGCTTTTTTTTCTTTAATATACGTTCAAGATTGTGTTCCTGGAGGAAGGAAAACATCTGGAACAGCTGAAGGCCAAACATGGCTTCGGGGACTCTTGTATCTCCTTCATGACCCCGAGGTATGTAGTGATGTATGTTGAAATTTAATTTGAAATATGTTTATTGAGGTAAAATATACTCAGAGGGATGAGGTAGCTCAAGCTATTCTCATTCCGTTCAGTACAACATATTTATACATAGATAGGCACATCACAAACAATAAACATATTACCAAACATTCTGAGTGATAAACATATACATTCTTCCTTTACACATGTAGTATGTTACCAGACACAGATACTTTTATGTGTAGGCATATAGACAATTTGCAATAGACATTCAGACAGTTCAACAAAAGGTTACAATCTTGGTGCAAAATGGTTATATCTCTCCAGAATATCATCAATCTTTCCGTTGTGACACATCCAGGGTATTTGTTCATGAACAGTCCTTTTCTTAGTGTTTCTATATACATTAATCAACGGGCACTCAAGAACATAATGGGTGAGGGGTGTGAGACCTTAACATACCACATAGTTTACACTTCTTGTCATTATCATGAACACCTATTCCATATTCCCAGTAATATTTGTACCCAAGCCTGAGCCGCATGTACACAGAGTCACTCCAAGCATTTCTCCTTTTACCATAAGTGAAATGGGTGTTTTGACTCACATACATGTAGTGTTGCATGGTTTGGCTTCCTCGCCACTTCTGCCTGTGAATGAATATTTCTGATTTTGCTTATTTGTCTCATTGTGAAAACACATTCAATGTCAACTTTGGTCTCGATGTGGCACGTTTGGCCAAGTCATTCGCCACCTCGTTGAGCACTATTCCAAAATGAGATGGAATCCACATGAATTTCATTTTGTGATCTTTCAGCTGTATCTCATTAATCCCTTTCTTACAATCCTCAACTATGGACTTGAAGATTGGATGTCGATTGTTTAAGGAACCAAGTGCTCCTCGGCTATCGACAAATACAAAAACATCTTTGTCGTCTTGACGTAATTTCTCCAAACCAGCCAGAATGACCTGCAGTTCAGCTGATGTGGATGATATATAATTACCAAGTCGAAGTTCAATCTTCCTGTCCACGGTTCCAAACTCCGTATATTCCCTTATTAGGACTCCACACCCCTGCCCTGCCATCCTCCGAATGCCCTGGTATGTGGTGATGCCCTAGTATGTGGTGATGCCCTAGTATGTGGTGATGTCGTGGTATGTGGTGATGTCCTGGTATGTGGTGATGTCCTGGTATGTGATGATGCCCTGGTATATGGTGATGTCCTGGTGTGTGGTGATCCCCTGGTATGTGGTGACCTAGATCAACTGTGGTGCCTACCTGTGTACGTCCTCCAAGGTGTATTGTGATCGTCAGAAACGTGTTGCCTCTCATGTTATGGTCTATGATACCGTGGTACCGTATAATCCCCGGTATGTTGTGACCATTACGTGAATATTGACTCCAGGTAGCCAACATGGAGAACCTAGTAGTTATAATCCCAGGTCACCATATGTATGTAGTATCCCAAACTTGCTTAGACTGGGATCCTTGCCTAACATAACTTATTTTTGACTAGGTTAAAATGGGTCATTTTCCAGTTTTTTTATTCTCACGAAGCCTAACCTTAGACGAGGTTTCAAGGTGTCGCTAAATTAAGAAATACTTACCTCGAATATATTTAAGTGTGAATAATGCTAGATTTAGTCATTTCTAGAACTAGAATTTAAACATTTCAGTCAGTTTGTGATGCCTGGGCTGGTGGATACTCACACCCATGCTCCTCAGTTCCCAAATAATGGACTCAAATTGGATCGCGAGCTGTTTGGATGGGTCCACAAGTACACCCTTCCTTTGGAAGTCACGTTCTCCTGCGAGAAGGTAGCCAGAGACGTCTTCAAGAAAGTCGTGGTTAGTATTATTTATCAGATAATATGTAAGATGTAATTAGGTGACGAGGCGTTACCTAATTATATCTTTATGGACTTGAACCGAAACTTTAGAAAGTCTCGGTTTCGAGGAAATGAGATCAGAGTAGAGTAATCAGGGACGATTTTTATTTTCCCAATTAGTGCCTAGCAATATGTCACATCATTCAGTTCTTGATCTATATGTTCAATACCATTATCAAGGAGGGTAAGGCCACTTGAAGACACGACCACTCCCTTATATCGTCTTGTTTGGCAGTAAACTGCACCCTTAAGTCATATTGATTTTCCATTCAAACGATCACTTAACTAAATAACATTTCTGAAGTCAGTCGACACCTTAAGGAGTCCAAGATGGCAAGGGGGGATAGTCCGAGATGGGAAACTGATGGCTTCATTACAGAACAGCAGCGAAGAGAGAGGGTACAGGTCGCCGACATTTCTTCCTAAGCTGTGGTAAATTTTCCTAACTAGTGTATAAAAGTCATTGTATTCCCTAACTAAACTGTGGTAGGTGGGTTTGCTGATACTGTAATACTGGACGACACGACGATGCTAATGTGGTAATGTGCTCTATTCTAATGCTGACATCCCTAGGCTTCTGTCTCCAGCTGGGACAGAAACACATGATACCTGACTTTTAACAGACAGATACTCCCGGACAAGTTATTAGTGTAAATAACACCTAATGGATATATATTAATTGCCGGTTTCCCATTATGCATGAGGATTTAGCTGCCGGTGTCCAACTAACTTCACTTCTCCGGTTTACAGTTACATATTTGTATTTTCCATGTGCAGAATCGCCTGTTATGTAATGGTACCACCACGGCGGTGTACCACGCCGGTCTCTACTTGACGGCCGCCAAGATCCTGGTAGACGAGGTGCACGCCAAGGGTCAGCGGGCTCTTGTGGGCAAGGACAACATGATACTCAACTTACCCGAGTATTACTGTGAGGCCGGAGTCGAGGCGTCTCTCAGGGAGACTGAGGACTTCATCCAGTACGTCATGGAGCTGAAGGTGAGGCGTGGATGTGTCAATGTTTATATTGCGCACAAGGATCAGGAGTAAGTAAACTGAACGGGTTGTAATGGATACAGGTTATTCATGGCGGTAAACTATTTTCATCTTGTGTGTTAACCGGGGAACCAGCTTTACGTTTTCTCGAATCTCTTTTATATAGATACCTTCACACATAAATATAACCCATCATAATGAGACGGACATTGCAGCCAAATTAGCGCGCAACAAAGATGAAGTTGAATTAGATCTAGATATCCCCATCTCTACTGTCAAAACTGTATTGGTTCAAACACTCAGGTCTGATAGGAAAGAAATTACTGACTCCCAACGACCTGAAAGTACTAGCTATGATTTGTTCAGATCTCAAACCTATATCTATGGGCAGCACAAAACGTCCACCAGACTGTGCGACACAGTGGTTGCAAGGATCAGGTTGGGTTACCGTTACCTTGTGACAAGTGGCTACAGGTGACGGATCTTCCAATCCTGAGCACTCCAGGTGCCAACTCTGTGAGCAGGAACTGCGGCACGATCTCCCATACTACATCACCGAATGCCCAGTTATTAGACCTTTCAGACCAGTTGGCATAAGGTACCTGGAGCTTTGCAATTACTTTATTCACTCTCGTATTCTTGAAGATATCCTCATATTGCACCCAAAATTTGCCAGTGCAGGCTACTAAACATATAGTCCTGTTTGACTAATCATCCTGCGAGATGGGGACTTGTATTACTCTGCTACCTTATTCACTCTTGTGTTGATGATATCCTCAAAATGCATCCGGAGTCTGCCAGTGCAGACTGCCTATCACATGCCTCTGTATGACTAACCATCCTGTGTGATGGGGATTTTTTAGCATCACCTAGTTGGCTTTTCTGACACACTGTACTCCACTTCATATAATCTAGGGTAGCTGCACAAATGCAGTTGTACCCAGCGTTCACAATGTCTGCTGCAATCCACACTGCTTTGTTTTACAGGCAAGCGGGATTCAATCGAGCGTTCCCTGAGGCAGGCGTGGATATGAATTTTGTTGAAGTTTGACACAACGATATTTTTCACAGCCTTGATGAGCGGCTTTAAAGGAGATAGGCTTTATGGACTGTATGGGCCTGGATAGGCCTGGACTGTATGGGTCTCGAACCCCTTGCGTGTGAGGTCGTAGCACTATCAACTATATAGTTATCTAGTGTACACCAGCAGCTGTAACAATGTACCTTTAGAGTACATGTTACAGCTGCTGGTCCTTGCCTAACTTATTCGTGAATATTATAAGAGGAAAACTTGGCACATCTGCTGGGTATCAAGCTTGATCTTGCAATCACTAAATAAGTAAGGTTAATATGATCACTATAGACTTGTGCTAATGGGTCATTTTAAACCTCATCAGAATCAATAGAGTTATCAGTATTTACAGTATCTTGGGATAAGTGTAATTCTGCTTTAAGAGAAAAAATTATAAATTTATTAATGTGCTCCAACTTTTTTCTCTTGTGCATTACATATACTTATCATGAGGTAGTTAACAGGCCCAGCTAGTTTTTCCTAATTATGCGGAATGGACTTGTCCAATTTTAACAAACGCTAATCTTAAAATTTTGTTTTTTGTCACCCAGTCGCCTATCGTGGAAGCCATCCTCACTCCCAGGTTTGGTCCTGGCTGCCCAAGGGAGCAGCTGGAAGGTCTAGGCAAGCTGGCGGGCAAGTACAACCTTCATGTCCAGTCCCACTTGGCCGAGATCAATAATAGACCCCCCAATGTGGAACATGGATTTCATAGCACAATGGACATCCTCAATGACTTCAAAAAAGTTGGACTTTTGGGGAATCAGGTAAGAAATAATGAGATAATAATGAGTCCTGAAAATGTTACGTGTAATATCCATCTTAATTAAAATGAGCACGATAATTGTTATTAGTAATAATTTAATACTGGCAATCTTTTAAGACTTTGATGGCTCACTGCGTCTGGCTGAAGGAGGAGGAGCTGGAGCAGCTAGCGAGGGCCCAAGCCGGCGTTGCTCACTGTCCGAACTCCAATCTCTCCCTGCGCTCCGGCCTTTGTGACGTCAGGCGGTTTCTGGACCGAGGAATCAAAGTTGGACTTGGGACAGGTGAATTCTTGCGTCTTAGATGGTAGTGAATCAAGAGGAATATCCTACTTGACAAATTTTGTGCTAAAAGTTTCATTTTTACACGAGTTGAAAATTGCATGCCTCATAGTGCCTCTTCCAGGTGGGTTTTAATTTATTGTCAGGCAGTCAACGATCGAGTAGTCTGAGAATCAAGGCCATTGCGTCGTTTAGGACGGGTTGATCTTTCCGAAATATCATAGTGTGAATGTTTCGTAGTGATGTGGTCTTGTACACTAAGGTGTCACTAGGCAGATGGGATCCCACCTGGTGCTAATGTTTTCAGGTATCGGCAAGCCTAGGACCCTTGTGCCATTCACAAATCTAGGCCAGGATTCATTAGTAATTTACACAACCACTTACGAAAACTTGTACATCTTTAATCAGTTATAGGGGCTTTGTTTACATTTATTAAACCGCTTACGAGTTTCGAAAGTTCTTAACCTAAAAGTTCTTCTTATTGCAAAGTCCACTTTGGGGTTTGAAAGCTGTATAGATTTTGTAAGTAGTTGTGTAAATGCATGACGAATCTTGGTCCTAGGCTTCCTGCAAATTGATCCTTGTGAGGTACCAAATCCTGTTCTTCATTTCTAATATTTATAATAATTCCACAGACTGTTCGGCCGGCTACTGTCCGTCAATACTGGATGCCATTCGGCAAGCGCTTCAAGTATCCAAAACCCTGGCCATACTCAAGCCTGGCTACCAGTTTCTTTCAATACAAGAGGCTTTCCGTCTCGCCACCCTCGGAGGCGCTGAGCGTAAGTGCAGCTGTTCTCCATGCACACGTAAGAGCTATCAACATTTGAACAAATCCACAAGGGCCGTGACGAGAATTCGAACCTACGTCCGAGAGCATCCCAGACGCTGCCTTAATCGACTGAGATACAACATGGTATAAGAAAAGTCTTGGATGCTCTCGGACGTAGGTTTGAATCCTCGTCACGGCCCTTGTGGATTTGTTCATTTGATGCATCATGCTATTGTGATTTCTGTGTGTAGTGTAGTGTAGCTATCAACATTGTTTCAGTAGAAGATGAAATGCAGACCACTAGAAAATTTTAAATTAAATTTTATTTTGAACCCAATTATTATATACGTTAATATTAAAAGTTATATTATTAATATTATCATTATTGCAGTTATATGATTTTATTATGATCATTTTTATTATGTAATTATTTAATCATTATTGACGTTATTGAATGTAACGTTATTGAATTATATTATTTTCATATTATTCATATAAATTATTTAATAATTATCATAGCCATTATAATTGCCGTTTTACAACAGCATGCCAGTGTTTGTATATACTTATAACAATGTTCCCCCTTGCAGTAAACACAAGTTGATTATATTGTTGATAGTAATTGGTTGCTGCAATTGCATGGTGCACTGATTAGCGAAGTTCCGAAAGTTGCTACTAGGTGGCAGGCGCGTTCTGTTGTTTTTCCTTGTCGAAGGTTTGGAGAAGAGTCAGTTAGTCAGTCAGCCATCGTCCGCCCTGAAAGAAGGAGGAGGAGAAGGATCATTCTTACATATTTGCCTTAAAACCCCCCTCTCTCAGCTCCTGTGAGTACTATCAATGTTAATTTAAACCTTTCCCTTGATTTGCAACAATATGCAAAATACGGGATATTAAAACGCATCTAACTATGCATAGAAAACGGTTATTTGTGTGCCGCTACTTTTTATAGTTCCTCTTTGTTTTGTACGTTAGTTGAGAGGGCAGGTTGGATTAGTATGAAGGGTTACTTGGATTGTTACTCTTCAAGCAGCAGCACCTCGGTTAGGTTTGTTTTGTTGGATATCGTGCAGCCTGTATGTGAATAGTTTTGCTTACAAAGTTTACATTTTCTTTGTAGATTAATTAATCTGAATCTATTATTGTGACGTGATAAGGGGACTGCGGCTATACCAGGCAGATGGAATAAGGCACACACACACTTCTCTTTAATGAAATAAATAAAAACGCATTGGCCTTTGCAAGTGTGAAAATTGCATAGGAGTGAAGGAATACTCAAATAAAAAAATTATGACAATTTACTCTAATATTAAAAATGAAGAAATAACATAAGAAAAATACACGAAAGCCCTGATTTAAAAAAACTTGGCTAACACACAATAGCAGTAATAATAACACAAACACATGTACAAACTTACGTTAGCACAAAAATAAGGGCAACACTGAAAGTATTTACACATAATTACAATCTATACACGGATTCTAATTATGCTCTAATTATGGTACACGAAGCGAAGCTACTGGAGGCAAGCGTCGTAATGTCGATTCCCTGAGCACCTGATAGAGACTGATGAATGGACCGAGGTCATAGGTATTTATACCCCTGATGGTAACGTCACATCCTTTGACACCGAAGCTTGGAACTATAGGAACCAGGGGGCATAACAGGTAGTTCAGATGTAACGAGGAACCGGGCCAGTCTGGAGACCGAACACCCGCCTGGGGCTCTTGGGCTGGGTGGAAGATATATTGGTGATGGTGTTCAGATATCAGTCCACAACTGGGTTGAACTCCATACCGGTCGTATTACGAGGTATGTAGAGTGGTGAATAACGAATGGAAGAGGCAGTTTCCTCTGCTGTGCTGGGGAATTATGTGACAATTATTAATCTATTAATAAATAGATTGGATCTGGTTTACTTCAGCCAGTTGTGTAAATTCCTAAAGAGACTTGTAGCATAAGCCTAACGGTAAGACCGTTTAGAAATCTGCTGATAGGATAATTCCCATATGTAGGTATTCCTACATAGTATTGTGGTGATTGACAAAGTAGTCAATTAGGTAGGTCACTAAAACCTCGATATTAGTTTTACGATAAACTGATATCATGACGGGGTAATGTTGTCTACCGACCTGCCACACCGATGAGGTGGCGTCACCCCTCTTCTGTTGTGTAAACTCACAACATACCACATACCATGCGCTCAACCCAGCCCAGCATCCAGAAATGCCATCGGCACTCATCTTGTTCCAGCACAGATCAACACAACAAATGACGCTCCACGATGCCTCCCGTGCACCCATGATTCACTTGTAACTGCCGTACCATACTATTTATTATATAACATCTTGTTACATATTTGTTCACCATATTAATCCTAAACTGCTGTTATTCTTCTCTATAATCAAAACTCTTTGTATAACCGTTCTACACTCTACACGCGCCTGCGACAGTGATAAATATGGAAAACCGAATCGGAAATTTTGAAGTTGGTAAAGACTTCGATGCCTTGTTGGTTGATGTCGACGCCCCGCGGACACCTCTGGATACCTTCAGTAATGTGAGGAATGATACTTTCCCAACTTGTTTTCTAATGGAAATAAACACCGTGTAATTTTGTGTGATATAAATGAGAAATATGAGATTTGGTTTAAGAAGTGCAATTTTTTTTTTTTTAGTGTTGGGAAATTTCTTCCTTCCCGAATCGGCGTAAGTGTGGGCTAAGGTGTCCGCTAAAGTGAAGTACTGAATGCTATGATTAGTCTCCTGAATATCCTCCTCCCTGTGTTTCCCAGGATACTGCAGAGGACAAGGTACAGAGGTTTCTCTACAATGGTGATGACCGAAACATTGTGCAGGTGTTTGTGGCTGGTTCCTGTGTTGTTGACCACACCGCAGCCAGAACCCTCTGATCAGGCCGCAAAGGACCCGCTGATCAGGCCGCAAAGGACCCACTGACAAGGCCACAGCAGGACCCACTGACCAGACCACAGCACGACCCACTAACCAGACCACAGCCATATATTAAATTAATAATTTTGACAATATTTGATGTGAGAGGTCAGCCTAGTGGATGGAAAGGCTGTCATGAACGGTATTGATTATTACATGTATAATACCCACCGTGTTGATGTTCACAAAGCACTATAATGTGGATATGTTGGGAGATGTTTGATTATTATTGTGATTGCTATTGCAGGGGTTATTGTCTCCATGTGGGTGTCAGGTGCATCATGTGCACTCTCAGGGTAATTGATATGTTATCAGAAGTGCATTGTGTGTTTCCTTATACTCCTGAGCGATTAAAACTAAAATCACAGACAAAGTTGTGAAAGATATATTCATGGGCCCTGCCATTGTTGGCTATACTGTGGAGACACTACACGTGTGTGCGTGGGTGTACAGATGTCTGTGTACAGACAACAGCTGTGCAGCTGCTCCTGTAGGGAGAACAGCTCCCTGTTCTCTAGGGACCATGTTTATTACGCATGTACTCTTGTGAATGAGTATACAGCTGTTCTCCAGGGATTGCAATGTGTGTCAATTGCATATGTGTTGCTAATTACACAAACAAACGTTTGTATACATACCTAATGCATAATGCATTCTATTTGTTAACTACTCTAAAACTGAAGAAATTATTTGTAATGTCTCTGTGGCTCATTTAAGTACAAAGTTTCCACCTGTTTCCTCTTGTTCGTGTTCTACCCTTACTAAATAGTTTGTCTTTGTCCACCCTGTCATTTCCCCTGAGAATTTTGAAGGTGGTTATCATGTATCTCCTTAATCTTCTGTTTTCCAACGACGTGAGGTTTATAGCTCCCTTAGCCTTTCTTCGTAGCTCATACCACTCAGTTCTGGGACTAGTCTGGTGGCATACCTCTGAATCTTTTCTGTTTTGTGTTTAACTAGGTATAGACTCCATGCTGGAGCTGCATACTCAAGGATTGGTCTGACGTAAATGATATACAAGATCCTAAACGATTCCTTACACAAGTTTCTAAAGGCAGTTCTTATATTGGACAATCTTGCATATGCCGCTGATGATATCCTTTTGATGTGGGCTTCTGGGGACAGGTTTGGTGTGATAAAAACCCCAAGATCTTTCTTTCTATTTGACTCTTGCAGTATTTCACCTCCCAGATGGTACCTTGTGGTCAGCCTTCTGCTCCCTTCGCCTAATTTCATTATTTTTGACATTTCAGGGTTGAACTTTAGCAGCCATTTTCTAGACCATTCCTCCAGCTTGTCCAGGTCGTCCTGTAGTCTGTCTATCTTCATATGCCTTGATTCTTCTCATAATTTTTGCTTCATCAGCAAACATTGAGAGGCATGAGTCTATACCCTCTTGAAGATCGTTTACATATATCAGAAACAGGATGGGTCTAAATACAGAGCCCTAAGGGACTCTGCTGGTGATATCTCGCCAATCTGATGTCTTTTCCCTCACAGTTACTTGCTTTTTCCTGTTGCTTAGAGACTCCCTTATCCACTGGAGCACCTTACCTTTTACTCCTGCCTGTTTATCCAACTTTTGTAACAGCCTTTTATGGGGTACTGTGTCAAAGGCTTTCTGACAGTCCAAGAAAATGAGGTCTGCCCACCCTTTTCTTTCTTGCCTAATTTTTGTCGTCTGGTCATAGAATTCTGTTAAGTCTGTGAGGCACAATTTACCATCCCTGAACCCATGCTGGTGGTGGGTTACATCTTTCTCTGCAGATGTTCTTCGAGCCTTTTATGTGTGTGTGTGTTTAATGCGTGACTTTTGGGAGTCGTCACCCGTATCTTAGTATTAGTGTGAACGTGCCAGATTTATGTGTATATTCAGATCAATAATAAATACTGTATATACTTCGTATGTATCCAATGAATGTAATACAATGAGCATTGAAAACTTATATTTGATTATGAATTTAATGACTTACTTTAAGTGGCGTTTGTCCACTGTCTAGTTTTCTCTAAATCAAACACTCCGTCAGGCTCGGTAACTTCGTGGTCCAGGGAACAATTCGGTAGTATAGTTCGCAGGCCAGTGACGGCAAATCTATTTCCAAGGTTATGGAAGTATAAGTATAGACGAGTACTCAAAGCTGTTTACAGAAGGCTAAACCTTAGGATAGTAGAGGTAGATAACGTCGTCGTTTATCAATATGGTGATACCTGGCGACTACTCCGACCCTTTGAAACAATATTTCACAGCATAATGTCGGTTTTCTCTAGAAAATGCGTGACATTCTCCCAGCCCATAGTTTGTTATTTCTACCTCTATGATTATTTCTACCTCTGTGTTATTAATGACCTCTAATTAAATAGCTTAAAGCCTTAAATAGCCTTAACCCACTTAACTGGCCACTAGAAATTGTTCATCTCACCACATTCCCCAAAATGACTCATTGACATACACATCAATGTGATTTCTTTGTGTGATTAACATCATTCTTAATTATTGCTGCGTATTTTTGAACCCTCTTATGTTAAGTATCAACCTGGTTAAAGGAAAAAAGTCATTATGATGAAAAAAAATTGGTAAGCAAGAATGGCTACATAGCCGTGTGTGTTGTTCAAGATCAAGTATGTTTATTGAGACATAAAAATACACCTCAAAGGGTTGAGATGTATTAGATGAGCAGCCTAAGCTACTCAAATAGAGTAGATTAGGCTATTTCTACCATCCCACACCCCCCACCCCGGGTGTGTTGTTAATATGGTCACTCACCCTCTGGAGGGCTTTCAAGGTCGTGATATTGACTCACTGAACAACCACTAAGTCTACTTTAGTGCCAAACACTTTAGTATTATATTGTATAAATACGCAGGTGCGGCGGTACGTCTCTTGTTGAAACTGTTTGTTTTTAAATTATCACTATTAGGTTTATTTTTTGTATTTTCTGTCTGATTAATTGCAAAAAATGCATTAACTTTTGGTAAGTATTTATCATGTTAACGTTACCACTTGTTAATTTTCGTCTTGATTACAATTTTTTTATATGTAATGCACAATAAGGATTATTCAATATTAGCAATTGATTATTCAATATATTATACGCATGCGATAAAGTATTAGACATGCACTAGTGCTGGCTGGGGACAACCAACATCCCTGGTGCTGGCTGGGGACAACCAACACCCTGGTGCTGGCTGGGGACAACCAACACCCTGGTGCTGGCTGGGGACAACCACCACCCTCGTGCTGGCTGGGGACAACCAACACCCTGGTGCTGGCTGGGGACAACCAACACCCTGGTGCTGGCTGGGGACAACCAACACCCTGGTGCTGGCTGGGGACAACCACCACCCTCGTGCTGGCTGGGGACAACCAACACCCTGGTGCTGGCTGGGGACAACCAACACCCTGGTGCTGGCTGGGGACAACCACCACCCTCGTGCTGGCTGGGGACAACCAACACCCCTGGTGCTGGCTGGGGACAACCAACACCCTGGTGCTGGCTGGGGACAACCACCACCCTCGTGCTGGCTGGGGACAACCACCACCCTGGTGCTGGCTGGGGACAACCAACACCCTGGTGCTGGCTGGGGACAACCACCACCCTGGTGCTGGCTGGGGACAACCACCACCCTGGTGCTGGCTGGGGACAACCACCACCCTGGTGCTGGCTGGGGACAACCACCACCCTGGTGCTGGCTGGGGACAACCAACACCCCTGGTGCTGGCTGGGGACAACCAACACCCTGGTGCTGGCTGGGGACAACCACCACCCTCGTGCTGGCTGGGGACAACCAACACCCCTGGTGCTGGCTGGGGACAACCAACACCCTGGTGCTGGCTGGGGACAACCACCACCCTGGTGCTGGCTTTGCATTAAATTAGCTGTCATCTGACACATCCCTCTCAGTGAAGGATGGCGTCCGAGACCCCTAAATTGCCTGTTCATAATGGCTGCCGCGAAGCCTTGAACAGTTGATCCCCTTCAATGTTCTTTGCTGCTTAACATCAAATTATTACGTATTGACAAATGTTTATGCGATAACTATAATGTAATTTGTAGTACTGAAAACCTCTTTAAGTGTCATTATTAGAGGATGTTTAAGCGTGCTATTTGATGAACAAGGTTAAGTAGCCTTGAATGTGGTCAATAAGTGGATGGGGGACATCCCCTTGCCTTTGGCTGGAGGGAGTTCGATTAGCCAATTAGGCTTCCTGCTCCGGACAATGGAATACAAAATTACATACTTATGATTTCACACTGCAGGTTGGTTCTTCAACACCATCGAGTATAACTACTCTTCCTCCTTGTCATATATCCACAAATATTGTCATGCAAGATGAACCCTAACAAAAAAAAAACAAGAAAATATCGTCCGCGCACTGCCTCCTCCACCCCCCTCCCTCACCCCTTCACCCCCCCTCCCCTAACACCATCACCCACATAACCCCCCCCCCTCCACCCTTTGCTTGGAGTGGTCATGGTGATGGTCCGTCATCTAGCCACAACTAACCGCTATTGCCAGTCCAACACCAGCAACACTTCCTTCAGCACTGTTGCCAGTCCGACACTAATATTTTCCTATAAGTTGCCATCACTACTTCGCGGGGTCCCTTGGGGTGCTTTCTTCGACTCGCTCAGGAGGTCCAACACGACTCCGATAGCTGATTCGCTGGTGATTTGTTTGGTGTTATGGGTTTGTTTGAGTGCCTGGCAGTGGGTGGCACTCTCGCCTGGTGGTGATGGGGACCATTACCAACCCCCGCCTCAGGACTTCAGTGCCAGGGACAGAACAGGGAACACCTGGGCATCGCACCACTGTCGGCCACTTGGTTCCTGTAGTGGTCCCTCTGGTAAGCTTCCACAACCCTGTATTATAACTTAAAAATGCTTGTTAGCGGCTGTAGCAGAGATACAGTTTTATGCTCATTAGAGATATTAATTTTATGTTTTACCTAAAACTGCTATTATTTAAACCAACTCATTCTGTCTGTAAAGTTTTACAGACAGAATGTACAAGATAAACAGACTTGAATTAAATCAATCACCTTTAATTAGTAATAAAGAGCCTATTCTGTGTTGGAGTTTAGAAGCCTAATCGTTGTTTATATATGTAAGAGACACTCTATCTGTCTGTTAAGGTTGGAGGCCAGATGTTTGGGGCTAGCCTAATTAAACTTTGCATGATTAATTATTATTTTAGAGTCATTGGGAAGGTTCTGGGAAGCCCAGTTCCTCCTTGAAGGAAGGCACGGCCCCAATCCTTCACAATGTCTGTGGATGTGAAATGCTGTACCTCGAGTCCAAAGATTTGTATTAGTTGAAATAATAATGATTTCATACATTGACTTTTAAAACGTATGTTCGGATGACAGATTTGGTTACAGTAATGAGGATAGTGTGTATAAAAGTGTTTAAAGTCGTGGAGGACACTGGAAGGGTGGAGATGGGGAGGGCATGTGTATGAATGCAGAGAGGGTGGAGATGTAGTGTGTATGTGTATGTGTGTGAATGCAGGGAGGACTGAGACATTGGTTGGCAACAATGTGAGAGCATGGAAGGTGGAGACTGGGAAGGAGTGTGCTTGTACTTACCTAATTGTACTTACCTAATTGTGCTTGCGGGGGGGGGGTGAGCTCTGGCTCTTTGGTCTCGCCTCTCAACCGTCAATCAACAGGTGTACAGGTTCCTGAGCCTATTGGGCTCTATCATATCTACACTTGAAGCCGTGTATGGAGTCAGCCTCCACCACATCACTTTCTAATGCATTCCATTTGTCTACTACTCTGACACTGAAAAAATTCTTTCTAACGTCTCTATGGCTCATGTGTGTGTGTGTGTTTAGCTAAGTGTAGTTACAGGATAAGGACTACACTCTAGGTGTCTCATCATCCCCCCACATGTGTCCTTGCGATATTGGTTCATGAACAGAAGAACAAAAGGAAACTGCAGAAGGCCAAATATTTCATGAAATACATGAAAGTTTCTGGAAACATTATCCCTAATGACTAATACATGGCAGTTGCTATCTTTATTGGGATATCTTTGTATCTATCATCTTACAACGCTCGTTTTTAATCAATTAATCAATTTTAATCAGTTATTTGATCAATTAATCATGGATCCAAATTGTATAAACTGTTACTAATTTTCATGTGTATGGCTTCGTAATCTGTATTAACGAGGATTAATAATGTTTCTCTTGAAAATACTTATTTACCTCTCTCAACCAATATGATGAGAATTTTCCGAGAAATGAACAATTAGATAATTGATAATTAGATAATTAATTGATAATTAGAAGCATTAGATAATTGACCATTTCGTAGATAATGTTTATGCTGTGAAATTCGAAATTTAAAAAATCTTTAGATGTTTTACCTGTAAATAATATATTAACAATTTTAAAAGGTATTTTATAAATGCCAGTTATCACTACGAGGGCTGTTTTGAACTAATAATTTTTAAATATTTCATAATTAAACACAGCTTGTATATAAAAAAATTTCAAGGTCTTGACAGTATTTTCGAACCCAGGAAAATATGGTAAGCATAATACATTTTGGGGGGGAATTTTCTCAATGACGATTTTGTTATAACACATACGTTGAGCTTTGCTAGAACAAGCTTCCAGGAAGTTACTGGATAACAAAACTTGAAACCAATAGAATCAATTTGTTTGTTTATCCAAGAACTCAAGACTAACAGTTCGAAGAGCTTTTAAATACCTGGAAAAAACAGATGGTTGAAAACTTTATCAATGCCCCGATAAATAATGAATGCATTTCAAATTGTTAGTAGGTTTTCTGTATTAACTCAAGTAACTTACGAGAAAACTTTTCCCTATGAATTAGGATATCTAAAAATGCCAGACACTTATCCATTTCAGTCTCTATAGTAAGATTTACAGATGTGACTTAGATAATGCAAGAGGGTTCTTACAAGAGCAAGATACTGCACATACTGTACATATATTTATCTCCTTGTAGACATCGCTCAACAATTTTCCACTTATTTTCAGATCGACAAGCGGAGAATCGCTAAGCTAAGTGCAGGCGGAGAGTCGCTAAGTTTGGTGCAGACGGAGAGTTGCAGAACTTGGTGTAGATGGCGGACTTCCTTGAGAGTAGCCTCTTCCGACCTAGTGCGCCTAGTGAGAACCTCCTAAAGAAACCCAAGAGGAAGAAACTCAAGGTAGACGATAAAGAGGCGAGATACAGCAAGGGAGCACTAATAATGGGTTCTCCTGTAGGGCTTAGATTTTCTGCCATGACTACCTTACACAGGAGAAACAACAGCAACAGCAGCAACAATAACAATAACAACAACAACAATAACTGTATCAACAACAACTGCAGCAGCAACAACAATAACAATATGCCCAGGCATAGAGGAATCACAACACATGAAGCCAACCAGCCATCAAGACCTCCGCGTCCAAGCCTCATACTCACAGACAATTTAAGACAGCTGTTGCCCTCTGAAGAAGAGACTGAAACATCAAATACGAATCGTGGATCAAGCCCAGCTGTTAGTGGCGTACCCGCATGCACTCAAACTGTCCCTCAGTCGCTTCAACCAAAAGGCAGCTTCTTAATGAAAAAAATATGCAACTCTTCAGCTCATCATCATCATGCTAGCGTCGAACAGGGTGTCGTCTCAAACTCTACCACGGAAGTTCTGCCCAAAAGTGTGCCATCCCAGCATGAACATACTCAAACACAGGGAAATACATCGCAGGAGCCCTATATTATGAGTTCAGAAGCCAAGTCGGACATCAACAAGAATTTAAAGCTTGTCTCTAACCCTCTCACGGGTTCCGCAGATATAAATACCTGTCCTCCACACTCCAGCGGTCAAGTAGTGCAGTTAACCTCGCGCTGCACCAACGTTGCAAATGTCTCAGATATGCAAGAGCAGTTCATCAAGATGAACCTCAAACGCGGTGAAAGAGAATCCATTTCATTAACCAATACACGTGGTTTGATCGCATCCAGCTCCTTGCGTGAAACTCAGAATGACGGTTCGACAACCGTTAACAAAGATCTCGTTGACTCTGTCTGCTCATCGTTCACGGACACCGAAGTGATAAAAGGGAAAAATCTGCATAATACGTTAGTCAGCAACGCTTCGGTATCTTCCGGAGGAACGATATATGGTTTATCGAAAACTCTGAACTTTTTACATGCTTTTGAGGGCAATAAGATCATGAGAATCAACATTAGTAAGCGGCAAAAAATTATAAGCCTCTTTCGCTACTTGGTGGGAATTAGATGGAAAATGCAGGGGAAGAAGGAAGACAAGGAAATTCTTGTAGAGGAAGAAGTGATGGGAGACGATGATGGGTATGGAGAAGGAGTTCAGGTACGCTACAGGATAAGATGGCCCTTGACCGAGCGCTCGCAAGTGCCTGCCAACTGCCCTCCTGATGAAAGAAAACGGCCAAGAATACAGGTAACCAAATGTCTAATTCTTTATTTTATATATATATATATATATATATATATATATATATATATATATATATATATATATATATATATATATATATATATATGTGTGTGTGTGTGTTCTATCAGTTATTATTGATTATCGTTATCTATTTAACATGTTTTGACTTTAGCTGATATTTCTTACTTAAGAAAAGTATTGAGTATAATTGGTTATATGTGAAGCTTGGACTAGCTTCTGGAACGTTTCCAAACCTGGAAACCTGGAACGTTTTCAAACCTGGAAACCTGGAACGCTTCCAAACCTGGACTAACTTCTGGAACGTTTCCAAACCTGGAAACCTGGAACGTTTTCAAACCTGGAAACCTGGAACGCTTCCAAACCTGGACTAGCTTCTGGAACGTTTCCAAACCTGGAAACCTGGAACGTTTCCAAACCTGGAAACCTGGAACGTTTCCAAACGTTCAGAGCGGAACCCCCAGGTTGTATAACTTACGCAATGTCATGGTTCAGAGGTAACGTGCGGAACTTGGCAGCACAATGGTCCAGGGTTCGAATCTTTACATTGCTCAAGTTGATTTCCACATTGATATATCACTTTGGTGTTGTTTCCTTCTGTAATGTCTAGTATGTTATCTTGAGATGATTTCGGGGCTTAGCGTCCCCGCGGCCCGGTCCTCGACCAGGCCTCCTTTTTAGTTACCCCCAGGAAGCAGCCCGTTGCAGCTGTCTAACTTCCAGGGTACCTATTTACTGCTAGGTGAACAGGAACATCAGGGTGAAAGAAATCTTATTTACTTTGTTTTGAGAAACATTTGTTTCCGCCTCCACCGGAGAGCGAATCCGGAACCTCAGGACTACGAATCCGAAGCGCTGTCCACTCAGCTGTCTGGCCCCTGTTATACAATGCTTAAGTTTGGTGAAAAGGCATCTTCATATTGTAAGCGAAAATCCATGATGATAATAATTTTAGTTTATAACAAAAAATACATTAGAAGCAATACAGTGGTTGAATGGCTATTCCATAAAAGGCATATTTAATAAATTAACCATTGTATTACGTAAAGCTTCTCAGGCATAACTTAAAATTAATTCAGTTAAATTATTAATGGGTGTAATGAGGTAAACACCTAATACTTAACAGGAATTAAACTAATATATAAATTGTTAAAAAAATTGCAAATAATATTCAATATGTAGATGGTACTAAATGATGAGAGGTGAAGAAAATATGCATTTAAAATGTACAATAATAACAAAATAAATGTTTACTTTTATTTTAGATGAGGAAATGCAAGTGAAATTTGTTACGTGATTTTAATTAGATATTTCTTAGTTTCTCTTTTAAACTAGTTGAGAGAAATACAAAAGTACATTCTATAATTTAGGACTTTTTTTCATACCATTTCTGCTTAGGTTGAGTTGCACTCTATAAATATCAAATAGACATTATATTTATAGAAAATATATCATTGCTTCTCGTGTGATGGGCCATGGGTTCTGTCACCTCTAAAAGAAGCGTTTGAGGTCAAAATTAGCACTGCAGTTCAGAGTATAGGTATAAAGTACACTTGAGAGTGTCTGAAGTGACTTGATATTTAACATTCAGGGATTACAGTAAGATTGCTGAGTTATGGTTGGGATTCGAGTTTGTTATTGTTGTGATTGCTGATCTATGTTTAGTAACAATGGGTCGTAGGAAATTTGGATTCCCAAGCACAGATACCGTAGGTGTGATATACTTAGGTGAGTGAATAATAGTGTTATCAAGGCATAGCGGGGAATGTAAAATAGGAATTTAAAGAGAATGCCTACTATTATATATATATATATATATATATATATATATATATATATATATATATATATATTTATATATATATATATATATATATATATATATATATATATATATATATATATATATATATATATATATATATATATATATATATATACATATATATATATTATTAAATATGACCGAAAAAGTAAGATTAATAATTCTAACACGAATTTTCTCAATGTTTCTTACATTTTTCTTCACTGTTGATGGTAACTGAAAAATCAATTCTCCAAAATTCATTTTTATTTCTAGTCTGACGCGACACTTGAGCGCGTTTCGTAAAACTTATTACATTTTCAAAGACTTTAGTTTATACACACACAACTATAACTGAACAGAGCTTAAACATCTTCGATTTTTTATACCTGCATTTGGGTGAGGTGATACAACAGAGGTTCAGGGAGAGCATAACCTAAAGTACACTGAAGCTTGTAGTTGCGGATGGGTAGGGACTAGTTTACATGGGTTTACCCAAGAAGAGGCAATGGTAGGGTCAAGTTCTTCAGATGGTTCACAACGGGGTGGAGTTGTTGTGTGAGATTGGAGACTACCCTGAGCATATGGGGCTTCTTGATGTCGATCAAAGGAAGTTTTGCTGGGTGTTCAGGTGTTTGACAGTGGTTAAGTTGATCATCGTTAGTAAATTCGTAAATTTTTCATGGAGCCAGACAACCCACTGGTCTCTAACACAGCTGGTCAATTCACAGTTACGACAAGCCTATTGTAGTTTGTAAACAAAAAAAATACTCTTCTGATGAGGCATTTGTGTATGTAAACACCCGCTCTCCTACCCGCGACAGCTGGTGACAAACACTAACTTTTTCGAACATTTATTTAGTTAAACACAAATTCTCCTGCTGTGTGTACCCTTAGGATTCTTCCGACCCGTTCTATAAGATACCAAAATGATATTCATCTATCACTATGTCTGTATAGTTTTCACCATCAGTTTCTCCTGAGGGAATGTAAACACCATTACTAAGTCTCGTAGTTTTTGCTGGACAAACTCATCTTGGGATTTAGCGTGACGAACATGAATAGAACTCACTTGGTTTTTGAGGCTTTTGATCATTTTCTGTTATGTACTGTTGGCTTCACAGGACTTAAGTGAGATGTTTTCTTTGAGAGCGTTCGTGTTTAAATTCTTGGTCTTGTGGCTTCACAAAATGGGCTTCAAGTTGTAGTTTATCAATTAAGATGGTGGTAGTGGTGGTATTGTAGGTAGTGCCAATTCTGAGGCAAATGCTGGTAATGGCACTGGTTTTAGCTCTGGAGCTGGCGTGGAACTGGTGGTGAAGTTACCATTATGGCGATGATTGTGAGAGAGTGGAAATGGTGCAGAGGAGGGGCGCCGGTGCTACACAGCCCAGCTCAACGGTAACGTTTGCGCGTTTGTAAGTAATAAGGAAGTAGCTGATTTTGGCATGGCCGAGGTACCATCCCTCCCCTCACCCACCAACCCACCCACCCATGCTCTCTTTCTCTCTCTCTCTCTTTTTTTAACTAATACTAGTTCATTAGGGCTGTCGAGTGAAATTGCAAGAAAGAGCTGTTATCCTACCTCAGCTCATCTGAAGCGTGTTCCTAGAGACTTATTTATTTCGTGAGAATGTTCTTTGAAACTATCATAAGGGAAACTATCATATAGTAACTGCCATAAAGGAACCTGATAAAACTGCAAACAAGATCTTTAATCCTACCGCAATTCAGTTGAAACCTGCTCCTAGGTCCCTATTTATTTCATGGGCATATTATATGCAACATTGGGAATAAACGTTATTCATTAAATAACAATCATATATGGAACAGGGTGAGCCCGTAGCCAACTGTGTGCCAGAGCCTTCATGTGATCAGTTGACCTGATCTCCCGTGTATCAACCTATTGAGTGAACAAGTTTTAGATGCGAGTCGGCCTAGGAATGAATGATCGCTGATGGAGTGATGTTCTTCAGAAAGGCTTTAACAGCATGAGGCTGTTGAAGGTTGAGAGCCTAGTGTTACGGGTGCCAACTACTGGTTGTCCACGAAGTTGGGCCAGGAACGGAACTTTGAGAATTTTGGCCTTTATGTAACAGAAAAGCCACCAACGTCACGACGGTGTTGCAGGCTCTGATGCTCAGCCCGTTCCTACCAGACTTGGTCAAGACTAGAGATGAGCCTTCTTGGACAGCTCTCCACTTTGTCCAAAAGTCTCATGAATGATGGGGGGCAGGCAGTCCAGGAGAGGGGTGCATACTCTAGATGGGAGCGAACTTGTGCTTCATATAAGGTTTTGCAGCCCTTGTTGTCAAGAAGGTGTGAGATGCGCCGTAGAGCTGTAAGTTTCCTAGCTGCCTTTTGGGCACGGTTAAGCATGTGGCTTTTCATTGTCATTGAAGAGTCGAACTTTATTCCCAGAATGTCAGTTTTCTCTATGAACACTAGGTTTTTGCCGCCCATTTGCAAGCCTGTCCAATTTGCATTGTGCAGTCTAATTGTCATCATTACCTGTGTTTTCTCAGCTGCAAATATGACCTGCCATCTCCTACCCCAGGTAGATATCGCTAAAAGTTGTGATTGATGAGTCTTGTAGCAGTTGGCATTTCCTCCTTTTTGTATGTAAAAGTTAAAGTGCAGTCATCAGCATAGGCTTGAGCTTCAGGAATGAGATGAAGTAGATCGTTGGAATAGACGTTCCACATTCTTGTTCTGAAAGATGCTGACTTCACAATAATAGGCATGAAACGTGCTCACCACCGGTCGGCCGAGCGGACAGCACGCTGGGCTTGTGATCTTGTGGTCCCGGGTTCGATCCCAGGCACCGGCGAGAAGGGAAGGGAACTATCAGGGAAAAGCGCCAAGCCACAAGGACTATACAGGCACCGACGAGAAACAATGGGCAAAGTTTCTTTCACCCTATGCCCCTGTTACCTAGCAGTAAAATAGGTACCTGGGTGTTAGTCAGCTGTCACGGGCTGCTTCCTGGGGGTGGAATCCTGGTCAAGGACCGGGCCGCGGGGACACTAAAGCCCCGAAATCATCTCAAGATCTCTTCTTCTTGTTGATAGTAGGTGCAGTTTGCATGAAGGGTTTGTCCTCCCGATGACTGCACCAGTACTGATGTTGTTGGACGCTTTTATGTTGAAGACGATCGGAGCTACCAAGGTGCTTGTTGCTT